ATCGAAGCCAATATTTACAAGCTGACTGGCTGCTTTGTTAAAAATCCAAACGCACTGCAAGAGAGCAGAGGAATGTGTAGAACATTAGCATTCAGGCATTCAGAGTAAGTGCTGCTGGACACACAGATCCTCACTCAGGCTTGTCTTAACGCAGATGATGAAAAAGAAGGAAGAGGAGAAGGAGCCGCTCCAGAGGAGGTCAGGATCCAACCCCGTCAGTATTATTGCAATTTTTCATCTGTTTCTAGGTTTTTGATCGATGATTTGTTTGTTTTACTGCAGTGCTAGTGTCCGGCTGGCCTCGAAGAAGTTTGAAGCAAAGACAGTAAGACTTCATTTTCCTTTCATTGACGCGATGAAACTTAACAAATATTTTCATTCTATGTTAATCAGCTTAATGTGAAGGAGCTAACTGTGCACACTTAATAGCGACACATCAATGCCAGCTGAATGAAATGAAGTGTTGTCTTTGCTTATAACACTTCCTGTTTGGGTTTGGACTAGGACCAAAACGAAGATGAGGATAAGGGATCTTTCCAGAGAAAGTAAGCTAGTATTTTTATTTTTATTTCATAACTTTTTCTCTATATTTCTAGTTATTATTTTAATCATTGTCGCTTTTGGTGAAGAAGTGGATACATCTGTTGTGTATGTTCAGTTCCAGGCAGAGGGTCTCGTCCAGATCCATCAAGGAGAAGATGGAGCGGCTTGCTCAGGCAGCACAGGTCAGACCCTCCACCCTCACAGACTGTCAGAAACACAAACACTCAGTTTTTGAGCTTTTTTTTTTTCTTCTTCCTTTTTTTTCTAATTGTAGAGTAGTAATTGTAGTGCTTTTGGAAAGATCAGCCGATATTTTGAACAGTTTTGGTGTTAGGAGTTTTAGTCCGTGTTGAAAAAGTGAAGCACAAAATCGTTCACAAAACAAAATTTGCCATGAACGGAGTTTGAGCTGCTGTGGATGATTTAGGCTGCAGCTTGCAGTATTTGTTTTTGATGATGACGTGGAAAACAATATTTTTGAAACATGTGCAGCCACATTTCAAGTCTAATGGAGACACAGTCAGGACAAAGATGGATGTTGGAAAAGCCTATGAACTGGATTCACTGCTGTTCAGATTTCTGTGCATGTTTGGGACAATAAAGTGAACATCATTGTGCTATACATTGCACAACACACTGACTCATTTTGGTAATTTACACAAACCTGTTAAAACTTGCCTTAATGGGTTAATGGACACTTTATTTGACGTGGTGTGCAATGACCTGACATGCCACTGTCATGAAGATGGAGACGAAGGAGTCTTCATGAATATTTACCACTGTTGTCATGAAGTGTTATTCAGTACTTTTACTGCAATACACTTTTAATGCCAAGTTACTCTAAAATTTCTATTAAAAGTACATTAAAAGTGTCAACTTTGCATTCACACTGTCATTACTTGCTGACAGTGTCATGTCAGTCATATGCACAGTGTTACCTCAGTGATTACATGTTTGTGTCTCATTACTTTTACACATTACTCAGTTTAAAATAGAGAACAGATCTTAAATCTTTTAGAACAGAGGCCTCTTGACTCTCAGTGTCCACTTGGTTGTTGACTACAAATAGCCTGAACAAGCTATTAATATTTCTGTTGATTGTGTTTTTTTTTTTGTTTGTTTGTTTGTTTGTTTGTTTTTTCACTGCCACTTCTATGGCTGCAGAAGTCTGAAGTGCCACGCTCCCCAGATGTGACCCAGAGGACCCTGTTCCTGCTGGAGGAAGTCTCAAGGAAAAGAGGCTTGTTTGAGAAGGATCAGCAGGCACAGAGCCCCACCACCCCTGGAGTTTCCAGAAGTGTACATTCATTTATTTATTTTTACTATACAATTCCTCAATTTTCTGTCATTTCATGCCAGTGTGCTCATTGTATTTGTTATTTGTTTTTTTTAATCAGGAATTTAGAAGCTTCACATCGGGAATGTCAGATCGCATCAACACCTGGCTCAATAAGACCAATCAACCAGGGTCTCCACTCAGCCTTGTGAGTGTGTCATTTTATATTCAGACGGTGTCTGAAATGAAACATAGTGAAATGTAACATGTATGCCCTCTGTGAAAGCCAGAGGGCAGCAACACTCTAGAGTCAGGTCGTGCTGCTCCCATTCCAGTTTTCAGGTTTATTGTGGTTAGACACAGCAGGAGGTTTGGACCAAATCGAAAGTAGAGCTCAGATTACAACTGCTACTGCTTCCAGGTTTTACACTCGTTTCTGTGTCAACTACCGGAGCTTTTTGAATGGCTCAGTTGTTAAAGAGATGTTGTAATTTCTTAATAGACAGTTAAAAAGCTATATATAAAGAATTAGGAATAAACAATTTCTTTTGTCAGGAAATATTCAGATATTGGTGTCCAATCTCGTATCTACTTACCCCGGCAATAAGATTATTAATTTTCCACCTTGAATAAAAATGTAACATTTTGTTACTCTTTAAACTTCAAACTGTTTGTAAGAGATAATTCCATTAAAATTAAGCACACGCAGTCACTTTCTGATATGTTCATCATGTGGCAACATTTTATGATTTGACATTAGGAATTTTTTTTGCATTTTATGGTCTGCTTTCAGAGTGAACCTCTTAAATATTTTTCACTCTCAGATATTTAAGTGGAAGGATTGTTTTATTTTTTTTTTATTCTTTTTTTTTACCTACTTGAATAGAGTATAAAATATTTTAAAAAGCTGTACGGTAGCCTAGTGGTCTTGCGATCGGAAAGTTGTAGGTGCGATTCCAGCTTCCTCCTGCCACATGTCGATGTGCCTCTGGGCAAGGCACTTAGCCCCAAATTGCCCACTGGTCTGCGCATCAGTGTATAAATGTGTGTGCATTTGTGAGTGCGAATGGGTGAATGTGACTCTGGTGTAAACGCTTTGAGTGGTCAAAATGACTGGAAAAGCGCTGTATAAATTCAGTCCATTTAACAGTGGAGAAATCCAGGTGAATGACTATATATATATATATATATATATATATAATATATATATATATATATATATTATATATATATATATATATATATATATATATATATATGTCTTGAATTCTTCAAAAAAGTTCAAATTAATATGGATATGTCTGACACAAGATGGCCTCATTTCTCCACGCCTGTGTAAGAAATTGTACGCTTCCATTTTTTCTGTCTGTGTGAACATTCGTCCACTGTCTCTTTATAGGACCTGAGAAACGTGGACATCAGCAGCAAGAGGAGCCTCTTTGAGAGCCGAGGGGAGGAAAGTGCCTCAAAAATCAGTTCTGGAAAACACCAGAAGTGAACGGTAATTTTACTTAAGCTGCCTCTTCGCCTAAAAAAAATTAAAATTAAAATTATCAGACCGACTTACAAGCAAGGTTGCGATATTGATTTCTTCAAAAAGTCTGATTGAATGTTTGTTTTTACAGGGGAGACGACGGCTGACCTTCTGGCTTCTTTATTTTATTTTTTTCACTGCTGAAGCACACAAAAGGGAGAAATAAAACAGTCTCGCCTCGAAGGATCCTTCTTTTTCCGCTTATTAAGCTTTTATCTTACACTTTGCATTGCTTATTTTGTGTATGACTTGTTTTGCATTCCGGAAATAAGATGAACATGCTCGACTGACTTGTAATGAGTAAAGATATAAGTTGAAAGCAAATGTGGCGACCCGAGAGCATCACCACTTGTTGAAATTATGCAGCTCGTTGACTTACTTTTAATTCATTTTTCAAGCACTTTAAACTGGGGGAGGTCTTCAGACTAATGATGTTTATTGAGTGCAGGAGTTGTAATTTAAAGAATTTTGTCTTATCTTATATTTGGACTTGTGGACCAATTCTGCCTGTCTAAGAAATAAAATGTTTTCCTACAGCAAGAGTCTGCTGCGGTTTTCTCCAACTCGAACAAAAACAGACGCCTTTATCTGGAATGACGGAATGTAGATAAGCGCCGAATGCCTGTGTGCTTTCTAGTGGCAGGGCGCTATTTAAACTTAAGTGTGTGTGTGTGTGTGTGTGTGGGTGTGTGTGTGTGTGTGTGAGTCAGAGAGTGTGTGCAGATATGGTTTTATCTGGTCTGTTTCTGCACGTTCAAGCCGCAGCCGGTGCTCCCAAGCAGCCTTTTTTGGAGTTACAGGACGAGTATGTGCTATCTACAAAGTTATTAATAACACAACAGGGGCGTCCTAAAACTTCTTCCCCTCATTATAGTCCCCTGCCTGACCCACAGTGACACTCACCAGTCAGCAAAGGTTAGGAGCTGCACCTTGAGCTCTATTTTCTTTCTTGTTCATCTTTTTGCCTGCTCAGGTAAGACTGCCGCAAAGCAAAGTGAAAAGTTTTTTTTGTTTGTTTGTTTGTTTTTGTCTTTTTCTGGCCTCACGACCTTCGGGCGAATTAACCGAATCTGCGTTTTGATGCTCAGGTTCACCTGAACGTGCCCGACCATGTCGGACAACGAGGAAGTGGTTGAGGAGTACGAGTAGGTTGAAGCCTGTTCTCTGTTGTGTCTGGAATTACTTCTTAGCCAAACTGAACACGTCTCCCTGGCTGCACCCACACGACTTAACGGCACAAACACAGAGGGTGTTTTTTTTTTTTTCTTAGCGTTAGTTGCCATCAGAGCTAAAAGCTTCTGTAGCGATGATGGATTGTCACACATCATTGAAAAAGTAAACTTTTGTTTGTTTTACAGGGAGGTGGAAGGTAAAAACTCATGAATCACGAGGCACAATGGCGTTCCAGAAATATCGGTTCTGTTGTCTGGAGGGAAACCTCCACATTGTGCCGAGCAATGGTTTCTTAAACTAATCCAGCATGCTTATTGTGTCACCCTGTTGTGTTGTGTTTCACATTGAGCCTACTGGAAATCTTCCCGTTAGCACATGTCAGCGGACGACCTGCTTTGTCTGTGCTCTAAAAGTTACAGCTTTACTTTCCCTGCTGTGGTTCATTTTATTTTAAGTCCTGCACAATAACTTTTACTTTTTGACTCACCAATAGCATCAGCATCAGCCACTATTCCAAGTAGAGTAGTAGCACTATATATAATTGGATTGCTCCGTGTTTATCTTTCTGCCTCACTGCCCGTCGAATTTTCTCAACTTCATTTATCGGAAGGAGAAGGAGAAGAAGAAGAAGAAGAAGAAGAGGCCGTAGAAGGTATTTCCAGTTGACGAGTCATGACACTGACAAGTGCTGATGTTAAACTTTTTTTTCTGAATACTTTGTGTATGTTTCTAAAGGGTGTGAAACCATTACCAGGGCAACATGTGGAATGAAAACATTGTTATTCCTGAGAAATATTGTTTCGGTTTTACACTACATCTATTACAAAGGTTTAACACAACACTGAGTTATTTATGTTAGGCTACCGATGAGTCACACTGATCATCTGTTTGTTTTTAAGTGACACTGATAAATGAACCTCTATGCTTCAGGCGGACCTTTTATTTATTTATTTATTTATGACTTTGGCTCCTTTGTCACTCATTGCATTTTGCAGTGGGTTTAATGATGACAGTGAAAAGACCAGAGGGCAAAATCAAGTTTCTAAACTAAAAAAAATATATATAATAATAATAATAAGACGAAGAAGCAGAAAAAAAGAGATATAAGTAATTCAAAATAAAAGTTAAATAAACAAAATATCAATACAACACGTGAAAACATTTAATAGAATTCTTTCCACTGACAGCTGATAAATATATAAGATTTGCAGGACCCAACATATTAACAAACGGCACCAAAGTGCTTAAATGGTATCATGCAGCTGCCGAAGAATTTGTTCCAAACAGTGACACGGAGAGATAAGCTTCTTCATGCATGTACCAAAATCCAACGCTTGACAGAGCCTGCCTGGGCTGCAGTGTGGGATAAATCGTGTAGCCTCTCGGCGAGGTGTTGGGAACTTGAGGTGCCTGCACAAGCATGGCAGCAGCACAGGACCACACACGTCAAAATAATTCCTGGCATTAGGTGCGGGGAGCAATTGGGTATGACTGAAGGTCACCACCGAGTGATTTAGTGAACCTAGACAGAGAAGCTCTGTGTCCCCGTGGCTCAGCGGTATGAGTCAGTTGGGCACCAAATTTTCATTTATTGTCTGCAGGCTGGGTGTGACACCCTAATGTACCCAACAGCTTAATCTTCTGTGCCATACCTGTCATCGCCTTTCACCACAGGCAGCATCATCATCTGTGAAACTGTGTTTTTTTTTTTTTTTCCTGAAGTAACCGTGAGCAGAAGGCTCCAGATGTTCACTCAGTTATAACCAGCCTTGTGCTTTCCACTGCAGGGGAGCAAGAAACAGAAGGGCAGGAGGCTGAGGAGGCCGAGGAAGGTACTACTGTGAGCACAATGTCTAGAGACAAACTGTCTTGACTGAAAGCAAATGGTGAAATGGTTGTTCAAGGTCAAGTAGAATCAGTTTACGGGAAAGAATTGACTAAAAAGTAAATAAAATGTGTGGCTAAGATTAAAGAGAAACATAAATTGTCTAAGATTACCCTACTTTCCAATATCCCACTATTCGACTAATCCACTGAGAAAAGGAAAAGTTGCAAACAAAAATGGTTTATTATGCTGCTGTGAGCCCATCAATTTTATTAAGCTCTGATCTGCTCATGGTTTAAAGGTGATCATGGCTGAAAGCAGATATTTTGTATGCCATATATAAATAGGACCTTTTCTTTCCCCCCTCTTTGTCTGAAAGTAAACCTGACCAAAGAGTTTCTGTTTCTAGTCAATTAGGATTAACAGAATTATTCCTTATTGCTAAATGTCAAAATGATGAGATGATTTTTTTTTTCTCTTTAAGATCTGTTACGTAGATTTCTCTTAGTATTTGGTAGAATTGCCTTTAACCTCAACAGTGTTGCCTTATTTCACCTCTGCCTACATATTTTGTTACACATAAAGATCAGGGATTTTAATAATTGTTGTCCTTAAGTCACTTTTCAACTAACACTCAAAAGCATCACAGTTTTTTTTTTTTCTCTAAATGCCAAATGCAATAATGGTCAGTATGGCTAAACACTTAACTCGTAATTTCATGAGAACACAGGAATAATATAATGTAAGTATTTTCAGCCCATGTCAGTGAAACTGATGGGTCACTTTCACACCATCACCTTTCACAAGATGTTCTCCTTTAGTGCCACGGTTCACTCCAAACCACTGGGCCTGTCTCTTTCCTGAAGAGTAGCACGGCTGGAAGTTCCACGGTGTTCATGTTTGGAGAAAATAGTTTGAAAAGATAAACATGCCCTGGGAATTGTACCCAAATAGATGAACCAGGCTTGTGACAACACACAGTTCTAATCCCGATGTTTGTAAGATTCAGAATTGCAAGAAAGTAATAAAACTTCTTACTGTTGTGGCATTTTAAAAAAATTGGGAAAAAAAAATTCTAATCCTAACTCACAAAATAATTATTCATTAGTGATGAAAAAAAGGATATGTAAATAGCTGTTTTCAACTGTACGCACGTCCAAAATACAAGCAGCAAATGGGCAACATATTTTGCAAGCCTGTACCAGATTTAGAAATGGCGTTTAAATTTAGGTAACCTTTTTCTAAAAGTCAACAGTTTCCTCGTTGTTTTTGTTTTTTTTTTATCTCTTCTGATGTCGTTTCATCCTGTCTTGTTCACCAATGACGTCTGAAAAGCTGCAAAACGACAGCTCACACGAGGCAACGGCCCAGCAGCGCGCTCCACTGCTGTTAAAAAAGTTTTTCACCGGCATAACATTACGACTCTCTCGCTGTGCCACAGACGCGGCGCAAGAGGAAGAGAAACCAGCAGAGGAGGGCGATGAAGAACAAGGTGAGCGCCTCTTGTACGGGTATTTCTAAAGGCTTGTTTCTGCTTGTGAGGACCAAGCAGCAGTATTTGCATTTACCAGACATCTAAGCGATGATGGTCGTTCACGACCAATCGCCCCAGCGGGCAGGAGGGTGACCTGTCCTCTTCTCAGTGCGCAACGTTCTGCAGGTTTCTTGAGAAGACGAGTCCACTTAGCCAAACCAGATGCTGCCACTGAAGAGTCATGTGCAGGCCTCCCTTCCCCTCCCAGCCCTGAGGCTCTTGAGCATTAGTCATATTCAGTTTGGCATTTATTTATCTCTGATGTCTGTCTCACTGCGAAAGGAGAGGCGTGATATGGAAAATGTGTCTCATCTTTACGCCAGATCTGCACCTGAATGTTAAGGAAACTTCCTATGGGGCTTCTGCATGTGTCAAGTGAGAATATGTTTAGTTTGGCCGTGGATGATTATTAAAAGTGCCGCAAAGTCAGTCATTCTAATCGAAATGACCAAGTCAGAAAAAAAAAATGCCTGGTCATCAAGAATTAAGAGCCAAAACATCTTTTCAATCTCAACTGTTTTATCAGATAACAGCCTAATAGATGAGTAATTCTCTACAAGACCACAACAAAAGACTATTTGAAAACTTCCTTCATTCCTGTAAGATACATAAACAACATTTGAGTTGTGGCATTTTGATTGGACAGGCTGTCTTTTTAGAGGTCGCAGTCCTTTGACTGGCAAGATACCAACACCTATCAAGACTTGTCTCTCTGAAGAAACACCCAGAGCTTAATTAAAGAACGCCACTGATGATGGAAAACTTCCCTTGTGGCAGCACAGAGAACAACTCAGTACTTGAGTTTATCAGTAGTCTGTCCTCTGTCTTTTTCCGGTGCTTAACTTTGAGCCGCAGTTATTACAAAAACATTTCTCGCCCGTTTGACTTTTCCAGCCACAGCCTCTCAGTTATCTGTTTCAATTTGGTTTCAGGTGAAGGAGAGGCGGAGGGAGAAGGTATCACCGACGGTTCGCACCTTTTCTGCTCGTTTGGATGCACTGAAGCTTTATTTTAGTCACGCCAGAGTTAATTGTCCGCTAAAGTAAGAGTGCAAAAAGACATCCTTGTCGAGACTTGGTTGGACTTCCTGGCATGTTTTGGTTTGCTCTTGGCAAATGAGTGCGTCAGGCTCCATCTGCGTGGGTGTGCGTGTGTGGTCTGGTTTAGCTCATCTCTGTAAACTCTTCTCTTTGTTTTCCAACTCCACAGAGGAGGAGGCCAAACCAAAATTCAAGTAAGTAACACTAATAGATGAGCACACGTTTGTGCTCAGTGTAGACTTTGCTATCTCTGTACCAGAGATGTTTTCTCGGTGAGTTTGGTAGAAAAAGCATTTTAAAAAATCACAAGAAATTCAAATTCAGAGATGTCTTCCAAGAAATGATAAATCATTTCATGCTTCCGTCTGTTGACGAGCTCTCCTGAGATGCTAATTCCGTTTTCGAGCAGGACTTTGTACCTGCCCGCACTGCAGAGGTGCATCGATACACTTCTTTATAATTATGGGTCAATGTAATGCATCTGGCCAGCAACCTGACCTGACCTGAACCACATGGAAAACCAATACAGATTTGACAAGATGAAGATGAGAAACATAACAATGCAGACAAACTGAAGGTGACTGAAGCTACCTGGACTCCCTGAACATCTCAGCAGAGTCACCAACAGGCTGAATCCATGTCACTCTGCACTAGTGCAGTAATTCATGCTAAAAAAGCTCAGCCCAGGTATTGGATGTATCATATCTTCTGCAATGAACATGGGTAAAGTTTAGAGTAGCCAGGCACTGATGCATATATTAGACTTTTTTTTGTTGATTTTAAGTTTTATTTGCGTTTTCTGGGGTTTTTCCTCATGTCATATTCAATTTAGCAGAAAATGGTGCTTCTGACGCACCTTGCAGTGTTTACACATTTTCCTCTGTCTTTTCAGGCCGTTCATTATGCCCAACCTCATCCCTCCTAAGATCCCAGATGGGGAGAGGGTGGATTTTGACGTAAGTAACGCATCTCTGGTTTCAGATGACCAATTGAAAGCACTGATTTCAATCTATTTTTTATGTCGATATTTTGCTGCAAACTTCCTTTTTGACGCACCTTTGATCACTCTGGAACACACGCTTCTGCAGGACATACACCGCAAGAGGATGGAGAAGGACCTGATGGAGCTCCAGACTCTGATCGAGGTTCACTTTGAAAGCAGAAAGAAGGAAGAAGAGGAGCTCATTAGTCTCAAAGAACGAATCGTGCGTGCCTCGATCGCACTTTCGGTGGAAGATGCGCCTGCTGAGCCCCCGCAGCAATAACGGCAAAGTGCCGCAATCTTGTTTCAGGAGAAGCGGCGCTCTGAGCGCGCGGAGCAGCACAGGATACGCAGCGAGCGAGACAAAGAGCGGCAGAAGCGGCTTGAGGTTGAGATGCGTTGCTGCTGCTTGCACGGCCAGTGACATGTACTGATTTTTATTGCTGACCATTTTTCTCGCTGGTCGCATGTTTTCCCGTCTTCCCAGGACGAGAGGGCTCGCAAAGAGGAGGAAGAGGCAAAGAAACGAGCAGAAGATGACGCGAAGAAGAAAAAAACCTTGACCAGCCTCCACTTTGGAGGCTACATGCAGAAGCTGGTGACGAAATAAGGATTTGATGTATTTATTTATTTATTTATTTCTCTCAAAAAAAAAATCAAACGTCAACAAAGTGTTTCGTTTTCCCAGAACGAGAAGCGGAGCGGTAAGAGGCAGACAGAGAGAGAGAAGAAAAAGAAGATCTTGAGCGAGAGACGCAAATCTTTGGACATCGACAACTTGAGTCAGGAGAAACTCAAGTAGGTGGAGAGATGGTTTTGCCGCGTCACTGAACGTCTACCTCTGTACGAGAACCAAAGGATAATCAGAAAACCTCACTTCCCAGGGAGAAGGCCAAGGAGTTATGGGAGTGGATGTACGAGCTGGAGGCGGAGAAGTTTGACCTGCAGTACCAATTCACCAGGCAGAAATACGAGGTGTGCGCCACTCCGCAGCGTCTCTGAAACAAAAACGGCCACAGTAACATTTGCACCTTCTCTTTTTTCTCTCTCTTTGTTCCAGATAAATGTGCTGAGAAACCGCGTGAGCGACCATCAGAAAACGTGAGGATCTAGTTCTCCTTTCGACCAATAGACACGCTGCTCTCTTTTCTTTGTAACAGCATCACTGCCGCGTAAAGGCGCATCTCCACATCTCCTCCACAACGTTTAGGAGAAGTGTTACGTAACAAGAGAGTATCCTCAGCTTACAGATACACGCCTCAGAAAATCGTATTAGTCGTGCACAGACTGCTGGCGTTTTATGGAAAGGTATACAGATGGAAATTTGTGACAAAGCCTGTTAGGAGCTTGCAACAGTCTAAGAATAGAGGACACACGTGACAGATTGTGTTATCTGTAAATGTGACCTAAGCTGACCTTTTTGGCCACCCACACGTCATGCTGCTGACGCCAGAAAAAAAACCAACACTGCACATCACCCTGAACAGCCCACCCCGATGGAGAGAAGATAGAGAGGGAAGCATCAGAATGTTGGAATGGTTTTTATTTCAGTAATGACAGTGAAAGTGGTCGGAAGTATTGACTCGAAGGGTCGCAAGAAAGGTGAAGTTTTCTATCTGATTCTCAGTCACCATTCGTTTCGATTTATAGCGTAAAATACCAAGAAGCCACACTGAAGTTTGTGGACCAAGTTTGGAAAAAAATGTAAAATGTTTGAGGGGTCTTGCACAGAACTTAAAGTAGTTTGTGAAGCATGATTGGGTGGGAAAGAAGACTTTTCTTTTTCCTCCTCAATGCCCCATGCAGACAAACAAGCTCAGTCTGAATTCTTAACCTCATGAGCCGTTTTTATTTATTTATTTTTTTTGGTTTCCACAGATCCAAGAGAACAAAGAGAGGCCTTAGGAAATAGATGACCTGCTATCCAGACTAAGCACCTAAACCAAGACCTGGTATCCTCGCCACACCCAAGCTACACCTTTCTAGTGTATTGCATAATAACATATATTCAGTTGAGTTTTTTTTCTGAGATTACATTCTGGGAGCAGTGAATAATGTGTAGGGGTAAATAAAACCTTATTTTAAAAACCAGCTTTGAGCTTTTCTTCTTTTCCGGGACAAGTGACGGCAGGTGCATTTTTCATTTAGTAGCACTGAAATAAGTGCCCCAAGATGAAAGTGACTAATATCTAAAGAAGCCAAGAGCGAATTCGGGAATGGACGATCTTCCTGCTCTGAGACAGGCTCGGACATGAGCGACACTGATGCGTCTTGGAATGACGCCCAGACATCCACCCTGTACTCCGCTCTCTCCCCTCTACTGTACAAAGTTGAAAGAGAATGAATCATTCTCATGTCCATATCCTTAATCTGGGTGGGAAAAGTGTTTCTGGAAGAAGCTCCTCCTCCGATAACACTTCAAAGTATCAAAAGTGTCAAAATGATTTTTGCGCAGCAGCTGCACTGCATTTAATTACAGCAGTTTTTTGCCCTTAAGAATCTGAAACTAAAACGAAATGGGACCATAATGCGCACAGGAAACATAAATTGCTCACGCCACTGGATTATTTGTCTGTGTACATTTAAAAATTCGCAAATCGTGCACACACAAAAACTATTTTTGAAAACAAGTACAACAAAAAAGTCCCCTATTTCCCTGTCATAGTTGCTCTCTTAGTCAGAGAAAGGCACGCACAAACAACAGTAACTCTCCTGGAGTGAGAGGCTGGAGCTTAATTAGTTGAAGATATCAGTGAATGAAACTGAAAACAGACACTCAACTCTAAGGATACACAATAAATACGATTGTGTAATCATTTCATTTGTAAATACCGTGTAAGTTATGTCCCGAAGAAACAGACGACCTTGACATTCTTCGCTTGCATAGCTGTTTATTTTTGCACGTAAAGTAACAACTTAATAACAAAGCTACTAAAATATAACGTACACAATTCTCCCAAACAATACTGAAGGTGATTGAGCCTAAGGCAGAGGAACCTTAATACAGCCAAGTATAAAAATGACCAATGTTTTTCACTTTGGGTTGATAGGAAATCCTAACAGCTGCCAACCACTTTAACCAATAGATGAGATGTCTTTTATTGTTTGTTACACAATCTGCACCAACCGGAAACATGTTTGGGTTTTTTTCCCCCAAAGAAATAGCTCTGTCAAAACAGATACCCTGTGAAGATCCCATAACGCTGTAAGGTTGCAAGACAGAGAGAAAACATATGAGTTGGACAAAAAAAAAATTTAAACGTGTCTTCCTCCTGCTCGATGATTTGAGCTTAGCTCATAGTTCATTATGCTAACATAAAAGGGAACAGTCTTTTTTTTTTATTTTCAGCTCTGCAATTAGCTAAATTACATCGATGGACACTTAAGAGAGAGTTGCCAACATCCATTACTGCTGGCTCCACCTGCTATAAGGCAGTGGCTGACAGGCCTGACTCTTTACTGTTGTGCAGCAGAAAAGGAGTTCTGCTCCTTTTCTCACACCACTGCTCATGCTACCACTTTGCCTCAATTTTTTCTGCTTTTTCACAAAAATTCAAGTCAATGTTGAAAAAACACGAACGTGCATCAGAAATACAAATGACATAATATGCACATTCAATGACAGGCCAATGAAAAAAAAAAAGAATCCCCTTACCACCTTGCTACTGCACATTTTAAGAAACCAAGTATCCATTGAAGACCACTCGTAAAACTGTAGTGTTTGTGTGAGCCAAAAGCGTAAAATCAGAAGTGGCATATTTTCCACTTTAAAAATGGTCCACAAAAAACTGAAAAATGAAAAGAAGCTTTGTATACTATATAAACACTTTAAAATTACAGGAATGTGTCAAGAGATGTCTCTCTAGTTGTGTTTCACACAGCATAAACAAGCTGTAGCAGTACAAAGAGGTGCATTTTATAAGATTTAAGAGAGGCCAGGTTTTAATTGTTGGTTAATGTCTGTTAAGAGAGAGCAAGCAGCTAGTCAAATTGCTCCTTTGCAAAGTCACACTCCAGTTTAGTCGCCACACACTGCCAATTTGTCCCAACTCACTTCCATTTCACACCTGGAAGAAAATGATGAGCTGAATCTTATAGCTGTTGTAGATCATTTAGTGTAACAAGACTTTAAAGAAGTTGTGATTGTTGAAGAAGAAATAGAATTAATGTGTGTGGAAATGTTGCTGAATGAGCATAGCAAACATCTCGTCACAAAACTTCAAAAAAGGGAAGGATGGGATCAAACTGTATGAAATGGCAAAGAAGCAAAATGAGTAGTAGCCAGATCCATGTGTGAAATATGGACCTTTCACACATTGATAATACCATGTTTATACGCATGTTATTTTTTCTTTTGTCATAGAATAACATGTATAGATATATATACATATACAATTACAGGAACATGGCATTTTTGACATTAACAACAAATAATTTTTTTGTATGTGAACATGATATTTTCCGACTATTCTATTCATAATATGAGCTGGTGGTTAACTTATTTTGACCTCAATTTTTATTTTTATTTTATTTATTTTTTGCTTGCTATTACTAAAAACAATTTTCCATGTACCCATAAAAAAAAACAAAGAACAAAACATATGAACTTTTTTCATGTTTCTGACATATATGTCTAAACTGATAACATTGTAATATTTTACAGCGATGCAACTTGTGACTCTTCAGAATCGCTGCAAGACACAATCCGTGATTTGTTTATGTGTATTGAAGGCTGCGTGAATTTGATTTTAGCACTAACACACATCTAGCTCTCACACCTAGCTTACTGAAACGCACAAATATTGTCAAATTAAATTACAAGCAACTTTTGATTATTCATGAGTTGCTTGAATAACTCCATTTTATATACATATTGTAAGAAGGACATAACTCATTGGCTCCTCCAACAAGGTTGGCAGTGAAGATATTAAGGGTGTGGCTGCAGAAGCTTCTGATCAGGACGGGTTTCCTTCTGCAAGCACAGGCACATAGAAAGAGAAAGAAGCAGCTGAGAAAATAAGCCTTAATACCTTTTTTGATTCGTTTGGCTTATATTATCCACGGAGTTGTTAGAAGGCAGGCTTACCTCTTATTAATCTTTGGGTGGTAATTCCACCCTTGAATTATTGGCCTCCTTGTCTGCTCCTTATTTGCTTGAATTAATATATATGGTTTTGGTAAATTTCAGCTGCAGAAAGCAAAGTTTGGAAGAAAATCAGTTCGACTTCTCTCACCAGTGCCTTAACGTGCACCACCAACAGAGAAGCAATGTACATTGTCAGCAATTTAAAACAGCCCCTGGAAGACAGCGAGTTTGAGAATCTGCTGTTTCTCCTGCAACCTGCTCTACTTGTCTGTTGAGGTTTTATGACATGTGAGTTTGTCTAATAATAGTTACACAATTATAACTATTTGCGCTCATGCAAAAATGTTCTGTGGAGAATATTTTACTTTCTTTCTATCTGTTCAATTTTCCCAAGTGGCTACATGTCATCCTCCCCTTGCTTCCCTTCATTCTTCACACACACACACACACACACACACACACACACACACACACACACACACACACACACACACTTTACAAGTTTCTCCATAACTGAGAGCATCAGCCAGCCTGTCTGCCAGGATTCCAGTCTTATTGTTTCTGAAATGACCACAGTCTTGGGTGTGGTAGAAGGTAGGAGAAAGTCTCTCCATGAGCCTGAGAAGTAATTAAAAACATCCACCATCAATCTGCTGAAACCAGACATTCACTTCTTTTCCTCACTGTCTAAAGTTAAATCAGAGCAAATGTCTCTTGTTTTAAGTCTGTTGGGATGATTACAATTATTTTTTTATTTACTAAATGCCACAGTAATGAGAGAAACAATATGAACAAATTATTAGTATTATTGATGGATGGACAGTCTCATCATGTCTGTACTTGCATATAATCATTTGAAAATTGTGCCCAAGGATGTACCAGACACTTGCAGTCTACAATTGTCGTCCTGATCCCTTGGATGGTTTCTTTTTAACTTTCACACTGTGTCAAACAAAAAAAAGTAGCTTAATCGGGATTAGTTAACAAATCAGAAGTTTCCAAAGTCATGCCATCAATATCTGAGCTTTCCCTTGTTGTTTCAAGGTAGAGTAATTATTTTGCATGTGAAATTCACATTTTGAAGACATAAATAAATCATATTAATCACATATCCCTTATGTCTTGTTGTGAAAGTTAGCAAACAGATTTGATATTAGTTTTTTTTTTATGAGCTAAAATAATGAGATGTATGATCTTATTTAACTTCACACAATGAGGGACCAGGGGAGGCTGTTTCTATTTGGTGTGTGTGAACTTCTGCTTTGAGCTGTACGCTGGCCTAGTTCAACATATCTGCTTGAGAGGAAAAGGTCCCTAATCAGGCACAGATTAAATGGTGATTTATAAATTTACATGTTTTACGGTGCTTCTCAGAATCTTATCTGTCCATAAGTTGTGTAGCAGTTCTGAGGCTGCCTGGGTTCCACTGTCTTCGGGACTATAACGAAGAGACAATGATCAGTTGGGAAAAGCAAGGTGACATTTGAGCAAGCAAAAAACAAAACAAAAAAACAAAAACAAAAACTCACCGTTTCTCACGAAACTCTATCAGTCCTCTAATCACTTCTGGATTTATGACATTCTTGGTGATGTTCTGGTCTACAATCAGCAGTCTAGGTAACACCTTGCAAATGGTTGCAACAGCATCAGCATCAGCTTGCTTGCGCCACTCTCCATTAGACAAAACATTCCCAAATACAGGCAAAATCTTCTGTGCTACAGAGAAGAGAAATGGTGAAACCTTATTTCACATATATGAAATGTATGACATTGAGTGCAGTCAGTGTATGCTCCATAAACATACTGGTGCATCTTAATAAATTGAAATATTTTTGAGATTAATAGAGTGCACAGATCCCATGCCCTGCTGGAAACTAAAATCACCATTTCTGATCAAACACAATGACAATGATTCTCCAAAGCATCACTGTCAAAAAATTCACACTGGACCTGTAGCAACTTGGATCCTCCATCTCTTTTCGCTTCCTCTGGGACATACATTCCTAAAAAACATCTAAATTTACTCTCACCTTAGAAGACGAGGTTTGACAAGGCCAATCCATTTACTTCTTAATAAAGGTGTTGTGACTCCTGAAGCTCTGACTAAATTCAATTCACTCATTGTGAATCTGCCCCTCAAATATTTTAGCTTAATTTGGTTCACAATCCTCTCGATGATGTGGTTATTTCTGTGGCTTGTTCACCTTCGTTAGCTAGATTTTCTTTCTTCCACTCAGCTTTCCATTCATATGCTTAAACCTAAAGCCAGCTTTTTCTAAAAAGAGAGACCTAGAGATAGTTTTTTCTATGCATGTTTCTCAGTAAGAGTATCGTCACAATAGCAAAGCGCACATTAATAATACTGGAATTAACTGATTTTATTGTCATATTTGTTGCCTGTGAGATCATTGGAAATAATTTCTTAATTTCCTATTGTAATGTTTAAATTCATTTAGGTTTCTCAAGAATGATTATCATTATGATAAAAAGTTCATTAAGGAAAATTTTATATATTATGAATATGACGCACAAACGCACGGTTGGTAGCAAGAAGCTCTTGGGTTCAAGTCTTGGCCCGGGGTCTTTCTGTCTGGCGTCTGCATGTTCTCCCTGTGCATGTGTGGGTTCTCTCTGGGTACTCTGGCTTCCTCCCACAGTCAAAAAACATTACTGTCAGGTTGACTGGTTTCTCTAAAATTCTCCTGACGTGTGAATGTGCATCTGTGCACAGTTGTTTGTCCTGTCTATCTCTGTGTTGCCCTGGAAAACTGTCCCTGGTGTAACCCGCTTCTCGCCCATTGACCGGTGGAGATAGAAACCAGCACCCCTTGCGGCCCTGCAAGGTTAAGTGTGTTAGAAAAATGGGAGGATCATGAGTCTGCCATGGCTTTCACATCTGGAACCAAATTCTGAAAATAAATACACTTTTACAATTGCATTCTAGTTTTTTTCCGATGCTCCTGTAAACATTTGAAAATAAAGGTTGCTTCTTACCCATCAGGGACTGCAAACTGGATTTGCGAGACATGTTATCCAGAAGACAGGCAAATGGCTTTGCAGTAACTTTGGACCACAACAGACTGGACAGGTGTAGATTCTCCTCAAGTTTCTTGAGCAAAGCCTCACTCATAGCTACAGACTCCTGAAACAAAAGACACATACATACATTTCAGTTGTATGTACCACTTCAGTGAAGCTATCCATATTTACACCACTTATTCAATGAGTTCATAGTGGAAATTTAAAGGGATTTAGTTTTTAAACATTTCCTACTACTAACATTTTCTTTGCCCGCAGTGAGGTTCTGCATGGCACCACAGCAGGCCTCCTTAATGGCATCGATTTGGGACGACTTGAGCAGCGACACATACGCATCTATGGCTTTTGAATTGTACAGCCACTTCACCTCTGATGATATTGTGTCTGGGTTTAAGAAAATCTGAGCAGAGAGGAAAGCAGTTTAGGACCTAAAATGTGGTCATCATGATTTGGTCAAGTTTCTTGGTTAACACCCACCTCATCTTTCATTTTTCTGCTTCTCGGACTGAAGCATCCAACTGTGGAGCTTTTCCTATCGTCTGTCTTCTGACTTTCAATCTTCTCATCAGAGAATGAAGCCTCTGGACACTCTTGCCATAGTTGGTATGTCAAGTTATGGAGAATACACACACAGTTCTCAACAGGCTATAAAATGAAAACAAGAAATAAAACAGATCATGCATTACATGTCCCCATGTAATTGTTTTCTATAACTATATTTGTTAGTTGAGACATATAGCAACAGGCCGTAAGTAGTCCCTGAACCAAAATTAACACAAATGATAAATACTAATAAAAGGGATTCTACATAATAATGAAGTCAGGGGTGGAAATTAAGAAGTTTCTCCACCAGCCACAGTGGCTGGTAGAGAACTTTTTTTTATTGGCCACTCAGGCATTTCACCAGCCGCTGTTTTTTTTCCTTCTTTCGATTACAAACTCCACAAATACATACATAGAAAATGTGTGATTTATTCTTAACTCTATGAAAACCAATTTACTGACAATAAGTTTACCATACAGACGTACATATACAGAATCATTTAAAATAAAACATGGACGCCTTAACAGGGTTGTAGAGCAATAAGTTAATTTGAAGTAATTGCCAACGGCAAACTAACTACACTACCTTAACATTCTTGCATTCATATGTTGAACATTTCCAAAGTTTGGCAACATCTCTCCCTGATAGTATTTATTAAAGATGTGTCTGGTAATTTTTTAAATTATTTTTAAAATGTATCAATAGCTGTTTCAAACTGTTTATTTGTTTTCCCTTACTTGTTACGTTTTCTATGGAAATGAACAATTATCGTATTACTAAAATATCTCAGGATGTGTTCATTATTAATTCCAAGCGTCATCATCGTTCTTGCGTTACTCCAGAGATTTTCTGACTACCTGGAGCTTAGTGTTAGTTTTCACAATCGCTAATTTCCTCTCCTTGTCCCCCCCATGTTACCCGCATTTGGCGGGTGCTAATTTCCACCCCTGAATGAAGTTTGGCAAACACTCCTATCGTGCAGGTACATTTAAACCCAAAATTATTCCAACTTCATATTGCAGAAGTACATGTAAAGTGACATTTTAGACTACCAATATGCTGCTTCTGACTTGAAGTGATATTAATGTCCCAGAGTTGCCAGGCCAGAGTTTGCATTGACAGAGAATCTGTGAAGGGAGCTAAACCCTATGCAGGATAGGATAAATGAAAATAAATGTACATCTAATCTAAGTCTATACACACAGGAGTGTGTGAATAAGAACAGATCTAACTGTGTGAGAAGACTGACTTAAGTTTCAGCTATCTTATGTGAACATTAAAATCTACATGCATGCAGTACTTTCCCAAGAACATGCACATATATTTATTTTAGCATATGGATGTTTCCAAGTACAATTCAGAAAATGCTTAAAATGTAGAATGAACACATTCTGTATAAGAGACATGAGAGATGTTCAACGGGAATTGGGAGAGTAGTAGGAGGCATCAGTGTCGACAAATTGTGACAAAGTGTGTAGTTATGCTTACCTTGTCATCTTGTGTGTCCTGTTTCACAGTTGATGTATTTATGTATGTCACCAGGGCCTCAATAAGTTTTGGACATAGTCTCATTTTTTGCCTGTCCTGTGCTGAGCCGCTGCTCAGGTTCCTACATGCACATCATTAGTCATTGCTCATTATTACGTGGTTTCATGTGTATGCACCACACAGATTGTCAGAAAATGTAAAAAACAGATATTCAGTTCAAACTAATTTTAGTGTTGAAGATAACCTGAGTTCCAAAATGCCTTTGTAAAATTATAATAGCATTTATCACGAAAAAAAAAGATTTTCAAACCAACCTATCGAATGGCAAAATCAGCTATGAAATGCCAATAGTGGCTAACAGAGCACAATTCAATTGAGAGCCTTTCGACGACTGACAAAATATGAATGACAACAAGTCAAAAAGCTTCTTGCTGATCCCCAACACTGTGTGAAAATATGCAGTAATTTGACAAGACAAAAGTTGTCCCCAATACATCTATCTGGTGTAAACCTAACAGCATTTCATAAACATAACACCATCACAATAGGCTAACACAGAGGGGGCGGTGTGATGGTTTGGGACTGGTATGTTGCTTTAGGACCTGGACAGCTTGCTCATGGAACTAATGGAACCATGAATTCTGATGCCCACCAGAAAACACCAGTTTGTAATCCGAAACTCAAGCACATTTGCGTTATACAGCTGGACAGAGCTCAAAAGTAAGTCCTATGCTCAAAAAAATCTGTTTAGTTTAAATATCTGAATGAGATGACCTCAAATAGGCTGTTCATATGCAAAACTCCTTCTGTGTGGGTAATTTAAAAATTCTCCAAAGAGGAGCTGAGCCATAGCAATGTGACAAACTCAATGGTAGATACAGCAAAGATTTGATAGACATCAAGGGTGCACAACCGGTTATTAAGTTTAGAGGACATTACTTTTTTACACATATATCCCATGTTTTTTAATACCTTTTTTCCCTGATGCATAGAATATTTGAAAACCCTTCTTTGTATTTACTCAACTTTGTTTTTGCTCGATATATTTTGATGCTCTGAAAAATGTTACAAATGCAAAACACAGCAGGAAGAAAGATATTTACCTCAAGCAGCCGGTGGCAAAATAGAAAACGTCTGGATCTACAAGTTCTGAGTCATTCTGTGGGAAGTTAAATGGCACCACCACATTCTTAGTCACAGCGATAAGTGCTGTTGAAATTAGTTCCAACCTCAGTTCTTCAGCGGAAGACAGGTTCCAGAGAAGGCCTTTTTAGAAAATACATATATATCACTGTTTTAGTGCATTTTCAGCATTTTACACAACTACTAAAACACTTTTCCTAACCCCACAGTTCTCGCTGTTCCTTTCTAATGTGTAAATGCATCATTCTTTCAACAAATCTTAACTATTAAGTATAGCAAAATTAGTATTTGTGTCTTTTGATTAAAAAGAATTCTAAGTAGAGCTGCCCAACAGATCAAAATGCATGATTCATCGTAATTTTATTGTGTGCAATACAAATAAAGAACTAGTGGGATTAAATATTTGGCCATAATTTAATACCCACATCTGATTTACATCTTAGATACTGAGATGGTATGGATGAGAGCTGGAAATGTTGGTTAATTACATATTTTCATCATGATAATCAAAAGCAATATAACAATGTCCTGTTTTCTCAGTAAAGACCAGCCTTACTTTTTGTGATCCTATTACAATCAGGTGTCCCTACCAGCGAGTTGTTTCTGTGTTTCAGAAGACTTTGTATTCTTCATTTGGTTCAGGATTTTAGCTGTGCCACCGCATTGGTGAACTGCCATCTTATTCTTTAAGTTCTTGTAGGCAAGATTTCTCAGAGCACCTGAAGCAGCCAATTGTAATTTTGAGTCGGTGCTGTCCAGCATATTCACCAAAGGTGGAATTCCCCCAAGTTGGAATACCTGCAACACAAAATTGTGATTAGGAGACAAGCAATTATTTCTGGTTTGTGATTAGAGTAAATTGTCAGGATTTTTTCAAAGCTGCCATTTTTGATGAAGTGACAATTTTTTCTATCGTCAGAGAGAATAAATGCAGCTTTTTACAATCGACATCAAGCTTTGACCCTATTAAAAAAAAAAAAGCTGTAAAAATATGAAAAAAATCTAGTTTGTGTCATTTCCAAGAAAGTATGAACAAACTGACATAGTATTCATTAGTGTGTATTGCAAAAGCACTCCTTCCCCTTGGTGCAACTAAATGCCTCCTTCCCCTACTTTTACATTATATATGATAAACTAACATAAAGTATGTGCAGAGCTACAAAGTAAAAGGAAAGGAATAAAATATTTTATTACAAATAAACATTTTTAAAAGTGTGGCATGTATTTGTGTGGAGTCCCCTGAGTCTGTTTCTTTTTATTGGATGTTTACCTGCTCTGGATATCTAAACTGAAATGTTTCATTATTATACATGGTAAAATTTCTCAAACTCATGGATGAAAAGCATCTGTGAAGATCAGCTGTCAAGTCTTGAGAGAATTTAGCAACTCATTTAAAACTAGACCTTGAAAAAAAAATTGACACAGGAAATTCACTTTGATCTAAACCATTCCATTGTATGTTAAATGCTGTGTTTTTGCAAACACACCTCCACTCCCTCAGTGACAAAAGACCCTACGCTGCATGTGATTCCTTCTGGTAACAGGATAAATGCGGTACACCAACCTCGCCTTTGGCTGAATCGTCTTTGAAGCTGACATGCTGGATATAGTTGGCCCCAAGTTTCTGGATATCCACATCAGTGTCCGAAAGGTATTTCACGGCCTCTCTTAGGGTTATATTAACTTGCATGTTTCCTGTAGAGTCCACCCTATCAGAAAACACATAAGAATTGGAGATAGAGTTGGCAATTAGGTGTTCAGAAGGGGAAAACAATTAATGCCTAATAAATATTATGAGTCAAAGCAGAAGGCAAGGAGTAAAGTGAACTCACATGGACGACTGCTTGATTTCGGACACCCTAATGGTGCCCAACTTGCCATCAGTTTGAGACTGGGTGGAAGGTTGCTGTAAAATGCGTGTTTGACTCTCAGTGAAAGTCGGGCCATTAAATGTTGAACGAGACTCTTTAGTAACTTGAATTTGACTTGAGCTGTTCTGCCTTTTGGCTTTCTAGAAAATGAATAATAGTTTTAAAAAATATATTTTGGTATTATTTTGAAATCTGGCAAGAACACTGAAGCAAGAACTACTCACCATGCTAGGTGCTGGAGCAAGATGAGAAGCTGAAGTCAAAGTGGGGTCACTCCGACTGGGGGTCAGCCCATTGGGGCTTTTTGTCCAGGATGAAGTGTTGACTTGTTCCATGTTAGAGCTGACTAATCTTCCCTTCATACTTTTACTCTTCTGAATGTTTACATAAATTGCAGGGTATAAAAGAACATAAGTTATTGGTTATTGTCCCAGAAATGCGAGAAAACAAATCAGAACTGAATGAAAGGGCAGGGTTAGGGTTAAGGTAAACTTGGCTGAAGACTGCAAAAGTTCCTGGGGTGTTTTCTTAAAGATTCTCAAATTGCTCTAAGAGAACTCCCTTCTAAGCCAAAAACTTTGTCCTGTACTAGCTTAAGAGTCAGTCAGTTATTGAGACCGACTCTGAGTCATCCCATTACAGAAATTTGTTCACTTCCCCTGCTGTCATTGTTAAAACTACATGTAGACTCCAATTCTGAAACAGTGCAGAAAATCTATATAATCGTTCACAGCTTCCCCTGTTTGCTTTTTTTGGAAGCTAATGAACAGGCTAGCACACAAATGCACATGCACTTGAACATACACGTGTGCATGCACACACACCCCCACACGCCTACACGCACACGCCTACGCATGCACACGCACACACATTATTTGAATATTCCCAGTAGAGTTTGAGCAAAACAAGAAATAAATGTCCATACAAACATTGTTACACAAAAATAAAAGGTTTAGCAGGGAAACCATTTCCTGTCAAACTTGACAGGAAATGTCATGGTTCTTCTTTCAGTGAAGAAAGAAGCAACTTTCTCTTTGCAGAAAAGTCATTAATCAAAGTTCTGTCTGCAGCTGACATTTTGACATATTTATCAGGAAAGAGAACTATGTTATGTGAAAGTTATAGGAGGAGGCATGCACAGTTGATCTCTTGGTGTTTTACAGCTCACACAGTGCTGAGAAAGCAAGACCCATATCACCAGGGGACTTGGCAGAAAAATTGAAAAAGATATTCAAAATAATGTTTGAATATATTTAACTTCTTTGAAGCAGTATTTGGAAACACAGATACAGCGAGTTGTTGCATGTGGTCTGACTCGAATCAAGTAAGACTAAATTATAACTGTATGAGAATTTCTATGTAAAACCGTGGATATGCAGTAAGGTGAAAAAACACAGCTTTGGAGAAAACTTCAAAGTTTTACCTAAGCCAGTGTAGCAGCCTTTAAACACGCCTCCCATTAAGGCTGTGTTTCTCAACTTCGGGCAAGATGTCAAATAAGATAAACTCATATTTTACCTTGGACTAATTCCATTGCAACCAAAAGTTGAAACGTATGCTATCGTCAAATGATCTTGCATGTACAATGACATTCAGTGTTTATAAAGTATTATCTAACAAAGGCTGTGGCTTCTAAAATAACAGGAAACTACAAAGATTATAAGACAAACATCTTTATCGTTCTAGCTCAATGAATCCCTGAAGGCAAGAATAAACTGATATCGGCCACTGAATAAACAAGTTTCACTTATGTAAAATATTAACTTCATGTTTTTTGGGGTTTTTTTTCCAAATCAAAAATTAAGCATGTACATTTTTGTGAACTACTAATTCTCTTGACAATTCACTTTAGCACATTATTATTCTTACCTGGATTTCAGGTAATAAGCTACATAAAGTTGCACATTCTGTTCAACATAGCTGACTATATTCAAACTTTTTCTACCTGATGTGCATATTTACAGATAAATAAAATATGACAACATGATGTGTGGATTATGAGCCTTCATCAGAACAGGCAACACCAACAAGTTCCCTAGAAATGCCTCACCGATGTGTAAGCAGGTCGGGTCAGGCCAAATCACCATAAACACATACATAAATGGACACACCCAAACAACGAGTCATGTAAACACACAGTTGCAGCCAATGTTACTGAAATTTGGATTACAAAATAGTTTATCTTAGTACACGCATATCAAATCTGGAGTTTTGTAACAGAGAAGAGAGTGATGTTTTTCTTTTTACACAGCTATTTACAAAAACAAACAAACACACAAGCATATGCATGCAAAAAAAAAAAATCTATTTTGTTTTCTGCAGAGCATTTCAGCTACTCCGTTTGTTCAAATATCAAGCTATTCATTTTCTGTCAGTTATCAGAGAGAGGGTCACTGAGGTAATGTATCTTGGAGGGAAACTCAGTCAAACCTTTGCATGAAGACACGCTTTTCGTTGCTTTGTACAAGTGACAGTGCAATGACAATAAAGTTGAATTCTATTCTATTCTATTCTATTCTATTCTATTCTATTCTATTCTATTCTATTCTATTCTATTCTATTCTATTCTATTCTATTCTAAGGGGGACCCCAAATGGTTACTTGGCCATAAGGTACAAAAACACCAGATACTCAGTGTTTTTGGTCTGCCCAGGAGGCACACTTATGGAAAACCTCTGAAACAGTGGTCTCAAACTGCATTCATCAAGGGCCAGAGTCCTGCAACTTTGAGTCTCCTACATAATTGAGTCACTAGCATGCAGTCAAACTCTACAGAAGTCTGCTAATGAGCTAATATTGGAGTCAGATGTCCTGAAGCAGAGAGTAATGCAGTTTGAGACCCCTACTCTAAAAAGAGACGTTTTTGAGGCATCCTGCTCAGACGCCAGATGCAAAGGACCAATGGCTGCTGAGTGAGCTCACTCTGTACGATGAAGCTGCTCTCTACAACTCCAGAGCTGAGTTTGACCACCTTATTAAGGAAGCTCACTTCAGCCACTTGAATTCAGTATCTCGTTCTTTTGGTCATGATACACTTCTCATGGCCATTGGTGAAAGTTTGAATATAAATCGACCATTAAATGGAGGCTTTAGCTTTTTGGCTCAATTCCTTCTTTACCCTGACAAGTCAACGTGACACCTGCAAAACTGCAGATATGGACATAATTTGTCAACACAGCCTTTCATCACTCATGAACAAGACAAACCTCCTTCACTGAACCCTCAACCTAGAGCACAACTTGTTCAGAGTAAAAACCATGTCCAGATGCTCAGAGGATGTGACTTAAGTGATGTTAAGTCATCATAAATACTAATCTTGAGATCGCATAAGGGAGCCAAGAACTGTAGTATCCTTTTTGAAACACTTCAAATAAAGTATCGAATTGCTTCTCCTAACTCAGATTATGAAGTATTCTAATCTCTCTTGTTAGGGAAAAATCTCTGTAATATCAATGGTTGGTCGGGCTAGAAAGTCATACCAAATAATATGAAAAACACAGAGCTTTTTTGTTGTTTATGGCTACAAAAATGTCAGAACAGCAGATCAGTACTCAACTACACTCAATTGCATTGAGAATCAATGGTGCTATAAAAATGAACTTGCTTTTATCAGCAATATAAATTATCCGTCATTCAATGCTGCCAATAATGTGAACTCAGAATATTACATATCGGTTTCTCAGCAACATGTTTTGGTTAACAACCTTTGTAATGATATTGACTACTGATTTCTGGAAATGGCAACAGAATAAGGGGGAAAAAAAACACATCTAGTTCAGCAAATTTGTATTTTTTTCTTCATCTTTCCTCAATGCAAGCAATTAGATTATGTTAAGACTATTTCTAGCCATTCACTCCAACTTGCTGCAGCAATTTGTAAGACATTTCTTCTCAATTTTTTCCAACATAGTATTTACATATATATTGACAGACTGACTCGTTGCCATTGCAACTAACAACAGTGCTTTCCTCTCCCTCACTATTTTTTAACAACCTTTTTCCTGACCTGATTTAAGTGTCATAGAATTTACAATTAGTAGCAAAGTCCTGCATCACTTTTTTTCTTTTACGTATTACGAATACATTTAAGATTAAACGCGTTATATTGACAACTTATCAGCTAGACGTAGTCGTCGCTGGAGAGCAGTTGTTTGCCCTCCTGCAAGGATATGGGGGGGCTGAAATCATGTGCGTTGCAATAGGTCTATAGGAAATATTTGAGAAAAATTATGTAGGGTGAAGATGAAATGAACCAACTATTTAACAGAAGTACTTCAACTTTGTTACTTTAACAAACTATAGTACAGTCTTTTCTTGTAGAGTCTTTGAAAGAAGCAGAAGTCGGTGCTCTGATTACCGACACATGATGCTGATAGAAAGAAAGACAGAGGGAGAAACAGTTACCCTATTGTGCAGAGCGGCTGACCCGCTGGAGTTGGTGCGGCGGTAGGTGCTGGCTGCCCTATACTTGAACAATCCAAAGTCAGAAGTTTTTAAACTCTGTGGAGCAGGGCCTGTTGAAATAAAAGAGGAATAAGAAAGTAAAACCACTGAAGCCTTTAAAAAAATAATACACAACTCAACATGTATGTATGGCTTTTATTTTAATAGTCTGATAGTTCTAAAGCTAGAATGAAAAACAGAAATGAAATCAAGCCAGAATCAAGAGGATGGATGTAGTAATCAGGTCGCGGAGAGACGAGATGCGGTTTCAGACTCGGGACGACAGACTCACGGCTGTTCTGGGCCAAGTGGCAAGATTTATGCTTGTAAAATTGCTTCATTAATCACCAAATTATGGAACAAAGAGACTGCCTGGCATTAAGAAAAATGCCTTTAAGGTTAAATGAAGTTAAAATAAACACATTAGTAAAACTGTTAATTTTACTAATGTGCGTTGGAATTAGGAATAAGTATTTGAGCATTTGAGGAGTGAAATCCAATATTATAAACTTGTTTTCCTCTAACTGAACAGCTAAGCAAAACCATATCTGCAGCTTCTGCACCTCAAAACCTAAATATAAACCATATGACCAGGCCCCTTAAGACAAGCTAAACGTTTTTCCGCAATCTGACCGACTGGTGTGATAGAACTGATTCATGCCGGAGTCAAATGTCTATTATTATGATGTTTGCTGTTGCATTTTGAACTTCTATATTCAATGCTTTAACACTTTTGAATGGAACTCTGCACGGTTAATGTGAGCTCCCAGATATTAAAGTTAACTCAGATGTGTGTGCGGCTCCAATCCGAATTTCTTCCCATAATTCAGTCTGTGAACTGTGAACACACAAATTAATTGCCTTTGAAGGCATTCAAAGGTAATTGGAATAAAGCATAAAAACACGTTTGCCATTTATTTTCAAATTGAGATCAAATTAGGCGACAAAAAAAAAGTAACTTGCAAAAATGCATCCGAATCCGTAAATCTACAGAAGAAGAACTTTTATTCATTTCTAGAATAAATTGGACAATTTTGCATTATTTCATGTGATCCAATTTTCTTTTGGGCTCACACGCTTATTCTCCATGCCAAACATTTCACCATTAGTGACATTTGTGTGTGCATGATCAAAGTGGCTGCAAAACAGTAAATCTAACTGAGCACACTAATCCCGTGTTGTCATAACAACATAAAATATACAGAACTAAATACACCGCACTCTTTGTTTCTCAGAATATGCAAAGGTCGTGCTCTTGTTACTACACATGCACATTTTAGCAGCTCCCATCCCAACCTCTGCGTTTTGCAGGATGAGCTGATTCCAGACGTTTTGTGTACCTGGGAAATGATTAAGAGTCGGCTGCTTGACTTGACATTAGTAAATTACAAGCAGCTTACGTCTCTGGAAGTCTATTTTGTTGTCCCAAACTATCGGAACTGTGACGGTCATCTTGTCAAAATTTTAACTGCGAGTGCGTGAAGGGCACGAGCGTCACTCCCACACCGAACTAGTTTGGACTAGAAATGGCAGCGCTCCCCTCAAACGAGTGCCTAACCTAACCGTGTCGAAAAAAAATATATAGGCCTATAAATGTCTGGGAACCGAGCCAGTTTTGGCGAGTGGCACCTCTGCACATTTGAATGGCGCAACTTTCTCCAGACGGCGAGACAACACGCGAAAACGTTCGAACCGACTCAAAGACGACTCAAAAGCAATTGGTTTCCGTACTTGTGGGACTCGTCGTGGCGCCGTTCCTGTACTTCGACTTGGTCCTCTTCATGGTGTTGACCTGGTGCAGCACACGCTGCGGTCCGGCGCTCAGGTCCTTGTCGGACGGCGTCGCGAGCGAGGTGTCCGGGCTCCCGGGGTCCATCTTTTTTTTTTCTTCTTCTTTTTTTTTTCTTCCCAAACTCGGATCCCTGACCTGGAGCGGGTGGGTCAAGCGAGTTCTCCAAACGAGAGCGGAGAGCCCCGCGATGAAGAGACGCGCAGCAACGACGGGTGGCGCCGCGGATAAGCCAAAGAGCGAGCTCACATGTGGTGAATGTTCCCAGAGCAGAAGGTGTGGACTCCACCCTCGGGAACCGCGCCCCTTCGAGGGGTAAGGAAAGTTCACGTGCAGGTTGGCTTCAGGGAGCGAGAGGAACCCATGACAGACCGGACTACATTTACCTACTGAGTTATGTCATTGTTGGGACCGTTGCAGAACCGCGCTGCGTTTGTGTCTTAACTTGCAAACAGTTCCAGCTGAAAGGTGAACTGAGGATAAGAGGTTCAAAGAGCCCTTTGATGCAGCTGTTAATAAATACAAATTCCATCATCCTACTCCAACAAGTCATCAGAATAAAAGCTGTAGTAAAAATTGAAACATCTTTTTGTTAAAAAAATAAAATCTAAAAGATAGAACTGTATTAGAAAAGGTCTGCATTATATCAAAGGTTCACCTTCCCAGCAGTGCTGCAGTGCTTTAGCACTAGCCATCAACATTATTTTGTTTGCATTATGCTCTTCATTCAGCCTGCATAACCTTAATTCATTTTAAAATGAAGAACCTGCAAATATTTTGGTGTCACTATGTTATCAGAGTATTTGCAGCTGAAGGTGCAATGGGGTTTGCTGAAAGATGGACTTGCTACTTACTGTCTGGTTTGCACGTGAGGCAGACAGCGTGAGTCATATTGGGAGGGAAAAGAATGAAGAAAAAAAAGAAAAGGAGGAGTCAAAAGATCAAGGAAAAGAAGAAGAGTTAGAGGGGGAACTGTAATGATAGGAAGACATGCTTTCAGCATAACCTGACTGTTTTGGCAAAGGTTATTCAGGTAAGTTTCCCACCACGCCCTTGTGCTGAACAGCACCAAAGCAATAAATGCTGGGTTTCTGTTACACACTCTACGTGCCAGTGAGTCTCCAAAAAAGAAAGAAAGAAAAAATCGAAACTGCAGTTGATGCCAACATAAGCAAAGGTTACATTCTGCCACTGATACATTACGACTTAGAAGTAAATTGAATTGCATAGAATACAAGACCTTTGAAAATTGTTTCATTTTATGTTTAGTCATGACGTCATCTGATTTATTTTTTATTTTTTGCTACATTATTGTCCTGCAAAACACTCGAAAAATTTGTTAGGTTGGGCAGTTGTGGCTAATGAAGGTATGCAATGCAAAAATCAATAAAATGCGTACATAAAACTGGCCTGACAAAATGCTGGGACTTTTAATAGCAACCTGTGGTATTTGCTGCATTTATGTTGTCCTTAGTCAACCTCTTCATCTCCAGTGTTAAAAATAAAAACACTATTGAGTTCATGAGAATGAGATGAGGAAGTATTGAAACCTTTTTCTACTTCTGAGGGGGTAATAGAAGAATATCCTTTTTGTTGTTGTTGTTTCATGTTCTAATTGAACGTGAAACAAGAGCTGATCACACACCGTCCAGATTCCTTTGGGATCTGTGACATAGCTTTTCAAATTTTTGCCTGACTCCATTTCCAAACCTGCCATCTGCAGTTTACTCAAAATGTAAAAGCTCTAGTGGGGGTGACTGCCCACTTCCACTTGACTCGAAAAGCCTTTGTGAGACTTTTCAAGAAGATGAGTCAGTTCACTAAGGATTCAAAAGTTCTAGGCCGAACTACTCACACAAAAACTATTTTCTTACTTTCTTAGGTTTATTATTCTCTAAAGTAGTGAGTATGTGAAACAAGTTCCGCAATATAAAGTGTTTTTTTTTTGTGATGAGACTATATTGGCTTTAAAGCTATTGTGTTGGTCTGTGGAGCCACAGGGAGCATGTTTATGGCTGCCAATAAAAACACTTCAAACATTTATTTGGAAACAATAAGTAAGACCCAAGCAACCACGCTTTTTACATATCAATACTTTGACACATTTCCCAGTTATTTAACACATTGCTTATTGGCTTCAATGTTAGGCCTGTTGCAAAACAAGCTCAAGATTTTCCATTTGCATGATTTATTGCTTTTCTTTGTTTACCAATAACATTGGGACAAATGTCTTCTGTCTCATGATTTGGTCTCAGCTCGACCCTTTTCAAAGGACAATTTTTATCACAGAAACTTTGCCACTCATTTTATTTGATATTTCTGTTTTTTATTTTGGATTAAAAAAAAAAGTCTTTTAGTTCCAGTGTTAAATATTTATTAGAATTTAAAGTTTGTTCATCTTAGAAAATCTGTTTGTTCATTATTGTGCCGTTGCCATTATATTTCTTGAAAATAGTCTCAAAAGGACTACGTAATAGCTGATCACAATAACTATATGATAATTTATAATCCAGCAACATTTGCAATCCTGAGATGCCTATTGAATGTATGCCTGAGTATTTATAAGAGCACGGAAGGCCAAATTGAAATGAAAATCCTTGGTTTATGGGACGTTAGTACTGAACATGAACAAGATTAACACACCTCTAAGCCACTGACAATTTATTTTGCATGCACTTTCTGCATGCAACCTGAACAGAACATAAAAGTTAAAAAAAAAAAAAATCCTATAACTGATTATTCATACCTTCCAGACCAAGGCTTCGAATTTCTTCAAACTTAAGGAATGGTAACGCAAACAAAAGTGCTGGATAATCAAATAAAAGGGACGAGCAGGGGGGGAACAAAAATGAAGGCGGCAAATCTTTAGATGAGACAGGTTAAAACGATGCATGTAAAGAAAATAAACTTCTTCAGGCAGGGTGTAATTTAACTCACTGCTTTGATAGCCTGACGTTATAGCACCACCTAGAAGAAAAAATAAGTACTGCACTTTCCAGGAAAGAATTTTGAAAAGTCACTTATAGTAAAGGTACTTTGCCTTGTTCTAAGTGTGGATTGTGGTGTTAATTGCTGCACATTTTCATCATAATCATAGTCCTAAAATGTAATCTGGTATTAATTTCAATACCACCATTTATGGTCATATTAATTGTAGCAGATTAAAATGTAAAGGACTCCATCCTTTACATTTGTGCTACTGTTATAAGTTAAGACGGCAATAAATGCTTCTAGGAAAAGACATTTTCCCTAAGGGTAACGTGGGAGACATGTTCACATCTCAGGACGTTTTCTTCTTTAAATAAAATTTCTGGCTTCACCTAAAGAATAAACAAAAACAAAAAACACGTGCTGTGCATTTGTGTCACTCAGTTTACTCTGATGATGCCCAACAAAGAAAATCCTGTGGAACCAACTGCCTTCAGAAATCATCAAATTAATTGAAACGTAAGAGTAAATTCAGTAGTGATGAGAGGTCCTCAGAAGTTTCCTTTGGCGCGTCAATGAGGGAGGAGAGTCAGGTATAAAAGTACTTAAGAGCCAAGAAGAAGAGGAAGAAGGTGCTCCGCTCAGACGAAAGAAAGCTTGAACCTTTTGAACTTAAATGTGGGAGAAAACTAACAAAAGCACATCACCATGAGCACACAGTGTGCATGGAAAAACATCTCTGTAACAGTATCATGCTGTGGGGATCCTTTTCTTTCACAGGGACAGGCAAATTGGCCAAGTTAAACAGAAAAACACTGGAAATAAAAAGAGGTTAGCAACCGCAAAAGACAAACCCCAAAACCTTGCAGCTGTGCTCGCAATTGAAAAACAATCCTACTGCTGTAAATTGAACAATTACGCCAAACTTAATGTTGGCATATTAAATACAAGTGCTAAAAAATGAATAGAACATTATGGTTGTAATATGAGCAAAGGTTTGGAAACATTTGCATAGGACTGGATACCAAGCAGGCATCCAAATATCCCTTTTCTTGCCAAGTTTAAGACAATACAATAAATGAAGAACTTCACTTTTAGATTTTTATTTGAAAATTCATTAAAAATGATAACTTGTCTCCTCGCTCTGACTCAAACAACATGTGAATTTACTGGTACACCTTAGAGGCACAGATTTTTTTTTTCTTTGGGAGGATTCGAATAAAGGAATCATGATGCAAAGAGAAACAAATGCAGCACTTTTTGTCGACTCCACAACGAAAATGAAATTCAAAACAGAACCAGTCCACTCGTTTTTATATGTGTATATCCGTCTATATATAAAACAGAGTGAAAAGCCATGTGTACCAGTTTCAAAGATATTTTACAAAAAGAGTGTCAGATGAAGTTTGTTAGTGTTGACAGGTAAAAATCTACCCAAATCCACTTTAGAGTGATGATAATGTAATCTGTACCATACGTACATGAAGACCCAGCCTATACATCCATCTTTCATCATATTTTTCTCACTGTGTTGGTAAAATACAAAAGAAATACCTTACAAAACACATCTTATTGTTTTGGTTTAAACATAGTACCATTACAAACGTAGTGTACACATCCTATACATCAGTGCTCCTCAGCTCAGCACATTCTTATCTTTAACTCATGTGGAGGTAGAAAAACTCCAGCAAGCCCACACAGTCAGATTAAAGACAGTCCTTTTGTGTATGAACCTTTTTTCTTTAAAAAATAGAAATACATTTTATTAATAAAAAAAAAGTGTGAAACTAATTTTGAACTTTATTTCCAAAACAGTGTGGAGCCAGTCTTCCAATACGTTTTACCTCCCCCAGTATGCGTCACTGAAAACAATTAAACTAATGCTTCTATAGTATTGCTTTCTCCTTACATTATAGTGTTTAAAAAATAAATACGACATGCACGTCTTTACATGTAGTGCATTATTGTCTGAGACGAGGCAGACTGTCTGCAATAAGGTCATCCTATCTTTGATCAAATTGATTAAAAGTCCATGATTTTCACGTAACAGAATTTGTACCTTTCAAAGATACAGAAACAATAAAAGACGCCAATGTGGCAGGTTACAATGACACTCACTAAAATCACTTTGTTTAGAAAACGTATGCTTAAACTCGTCTTACGTCAGTCCTGTCCAAGATGTTAAAAACATGCTTGACCTCAGCATCAATCCCGCTGATCAAAAATGCTTTAACCAGACAACAAAAAGTCCCCGGATGGAGTTCTGAGACCGTTTTTCCAATTCTTTTCTTTTCTGCAGTGTTTCGCTCCATGTCAACAAACTCATGTTTCTAACTTAACAAGCAAACAAAACAGAAAATGAAGAGAAAGTAAAGCAATGACAGTTGGCACGTTGTGGGATGTTGCTGTTTTGACGCCTGAATAACGTACACATCAAACAAGCAAAAGGTACGACTAAAGTGTGACGGTTGGTCAAAACAAAACAAAAAAAAAAAAAAAGACGAGTGTGTTCAGAGTAAAGGAGTTGGGGCTCTGTGTGCCGAGCTGGAAATAGTGTTTTTAAGCCATTTGTATCAAAAGTCAGATGAGTCTTTGCACTAGACATGCTGCTAGTCATTAACAAGGCGATACACATGGTACTGAGCTCCATGTTCGCTTGTGGACACTTCAAACACGAAGGCGATGCACAGCAGAGTCTCCTGGGTCTCTCTGTTGGACACCACCTGATAAAGGTCAAAAAGGATAACAGGAAAGTAAGGGGGGTCAACAGTAATAATTTATGGTAAGCAGTAAATTTAAGAGAATGCATGACGTATGAATTACACTCAAGTAGGTTGAAGAAAATTGGAAATGATTTTAAGTGATCTTGGTGTTTTTCGCTTCTGCTATGAGAGTAAATTGTTTTTGCACTTAACCTGCAGAACTTGCTGAATTTTAGTGGATAATCTTTAGTTAGCATAACAATTATTGACAGGTTCTAGGAAACAACTGAAATCTGTTTTTAAGCTAGACCTTCTTAAATGTAAACTCCTCAAAAACAAGCCATTTTCCTCTTACAAGTGAATTTAATGCTACAGTCTCCATTATTGCAGTTTAAAGGGGCAGTATTTTCCAGGCATGGAATGCCATTTTATACCACAATCCATTACTTTCTGTTCTAAAAATGCTGTATATATCAAACTTGGAAATTTGACTTTACAATCTGATGCCTGGAAATAGGTCTTAATTTCAAAGCATCTTTGGCGACAGTAAACAGCAGATCGACGACTGCAGTTATTCCCAATACGAGCTCTTTATCGCTTCAGTCCTTCAGGCAAATTGTCTTGTTTCGTCAAAAGCTTCGCCAATGAATTTGAGTCCTAAAGGCTTCTTGACAGCTGGCTTGTTGGTACAGTCTGTAGCATCTCAGATGTTTTCAAACCATTCGAATACGCCATCAAAATGATGATTGTGTTTAAATTGACTGAGGAAGTTTGACATGCTAAATACCCTTTTTCTTCTCGTAGAAATACCTTTCAATATTTGTTGAACAAAGCCGGCTTATTGTTTTAAAGAAGTTCCAGACTTCTGCTGCTATGCTCTCTGTTTTCTGACAAGCCTGACTACATTCACATGGTGGTGGAAGTTCCCAGTTTTGGAGCCGTTTTGGTCTTTTATGTTTATGCTTGTTATTTGTTTTTAGCCATTCAGATTTCGTAAAATACCTGCAGGATGGTGAAGTTCTCAAGTACACTGTTCATCATGTATTTCTCCGGCAGATGCTTGAGTTTGTGGATAAAGTTGATCATGTATTCACACATAGGTGAACGATGGATGCGGAAGATGTACTTTCCTCCCTCTAATTGAGCGAATTCTGTCTGCATGGGGAAAGAAACGCACACATGCAAGTGTGTATTAAAACACACACCTCCAAGTTATTTCTCTGCATCCGAACAACAGTGGCTTTTCTCACCTCAACTTTCTCCACCACCTGTTTTCCGAAAGAGCAAACCTTTGTGGAAACACTGACGGTGATGCTTTCGGTCCCACTGTACTGGCTGCTCACTCCATAAAATGCGCCAGGGCCCTCCTCAATGTCACCGCTCAGATCCGCCTGGAACAGGAACACCAGACAAAAATAAACAAAGAAGCTCCCGATGACAAATAATAGCAACGGAAGCTCATTTATTACGCAGTGTATCAGAAAAAAGTGTGACTCAGTGTTGCGTTGATTTTTCTAACACATTTCTTATTGACTTTTTCATTAACAACATGAGCTCCACAATATCCTACTTAAAAATGATCTGTCTGGTGGTATTCGATGTTGTGTGATTGACTTTTTTTCCCCTCAACTCTCAGAGACAATGACTCTCTTTATGTACTAACCCAGAACTTAACGAGAAAGAACGCATTGTGAGGCCCCTTTTCGTACAGCTCCTTCAGGCCTCCTTTCTTTTCTGAGAACTTGTCGTAAATCTGTCTCACATCTATAGACTCCAAAACCGGGTCGCTGTAGCCTGGATTTGACGGTCCAATATGAACAAAAAGGTGTTTATACTGCAGAAAGAAATATGAAAGTCAGAGTGAAGAAGACGGCATTTTGTTTTTCCTTCTACACACAGTTTTTTTTTTGTTGTTGTTATCACAAAGTACCGTGTCTCTGTCTTTTTGAGTCTCCATAAAAGCAGAGTATTCGAGTAAACGTAGTTTTGCAGAAGCGATGGTTCTGTCTTGCCATACAGGAGCAGCGATCGCTGTAGGCCGAGGTGGCGGCAACGTTTCATAACCTGTTGCGCAATCACATGAAAAAAAAACAACAAACATTTACCTGGGAGTATCTACATTAACAGGTAAATCAAGGCTTGGATGTGGAGTCTTACTGATTGGTGGAGGGACAGGCGCTGGTAGTGTAGTGTACGGAGGCTGTGCAAAGGGCTTGATGCTATAAAATTGAAGAATTGAAAAATGAACAAAACAGTTGGAAGGAAGAAATTCATCCAGTTGTGAAACTCCGACTTTCCCTGCCAGACTTACTCCTGAGAATGTCCAGGCTGTCCTGGGACGGGGCCAGGCCAGTACTGAGCACCAAGACAGAATGGAAACAAGTCATAGAGGATTTAGATTTTAGCAGGAACATTAAATAAAAATAAAAGTTGAGCGCGTCCAGTTTTTTGTTAAGGGTGCTCCAATCAGGAGCCGATTGTCAATTACAAACAACAGGACCTGCTGGGACAGATACTGAATCAAGAGATGTCCCAAAGTTGACTATATGCTGTCGGGGTAATTGAAAACTGATCAAATCATTTACAGACATTGCTGCAAATTGTTGCTTTTTTCTGATTGCTGAGCTTTAAGGCTCCACGTCTGCTCAGCTTTCATTTAAACCAAACTAATTTGTTGGGGAAATCTTGATTACACTTGTGATAACTGAGGGACTCAGTTGGTGTCACTGGAAACGTCATAAAAACAAAGATACTGAGCTTTTTTCTTCATATTAAAGAGTAATTCTTCATTTATGATCAGTACTGCTCTGTACCACTTTTTTCTGCTGATAATATCCAGGGTTTTTTCATATATTCAAAAAAAATAAATAAATAAAAAATAAAAAAATTAAAAAAAATCAATCCTTCCCCATACTGTAATTTTCAAAATTAGCGATTAAGAAAAACATAAAATTACAAATTGTGACATGTCAATTCCTGACAAATTGACAGGAAGGAACTTGTCAGGATGTTTTTTTTTAATAAAGATCTGCTGAAAAAAACAAGCTAAATCGACTACAGTTATGTTCACTTCTAAACACTTTTGCTGCCCTCTGGTGGAATCTGCCTAATGCTTTAAAAAAATTACATTCTTTTTTGAAATACCATTAAGGATTTTCTGATCAACATTTTCAGTAACCACCAATAAAAATCAACCAATGCAAATAACTGCCAATGAAGGCCTGCTAAATGGAGCACCCTCAGTGTGTGTCTCACTCTGACTGGTGGAGGGAAGGGAGTCTGAGGTTTCATTACACTCGCTGACACAATCTGAGCCGACGACAGGTTGGCCACTGTCTGGAGTGCCTTATCTTTGGATACCTGATCCTAAATGAAAGAAGAGACACACACAGAGTAATACACAATGGTAAAGAACCATCAATTTCAATGTCGGTTAACATAAAGGTCAGACAACTTTTAAAGGATCATCTTATCCAGTAGGCCAGCCAACATTCACTTAAAGTCAGGAAGATGCAGTTACTATAAAGGACAAGACATGGAAGACAGCAAAGCAGAGCCAAGAAGCAAAAGGTGAAGGCGCATCAAGTTGGAAGAGCTAAACCGTCACCAGCACTTAGCTAAAGCCACTAGAACCCCCCCCCACAAAAAAGAAGCAATGAGTAGAGTTTTTGAGTATGGCAGTAGAGCTGCGATATGAACTAGCAGTAATAAAAATGTAATGCCAACCACACAGCACAACAAAAGCCTGAAGCAGAGAACTGGAGTTGTGTAACCAAAAACTTACCAAGTTCATGGCCTACGGCAAAAGAGACATGTAATAAATTCAATTTAGTACACTCAAAACGAAGGGGACAGATGTTGGGTAACAACACAAAGTCTGCCTGCTCTGAAATTCATTTGGGGCAGTCATCACTCTGGGTTACTCTGAACTCCTCACAAATGTTGGGATTTGAAATTATTCATTGTGTCCAAAGTGCCCAAAATGTGGCAGGAAAAAAAATCTATGTCGAGTCAAAACTTTCAGCAGTAATAATAATAATAATAATAATAATCATCATCATCATCATCATAGTAATAATAACGTAGGAAAGGAAAGTTTGTATTGACAGTTGTTGACAGTCTTCATGAGAAATGTTTGTTTTGTTGGACTTGAAAATGTCTGACTAACATGGTGAGTAATGAGTGAAGACGTTGAAACTAGGTTGGAATAATTTACCAATAATTTCTAAATGATGAACCACAAAATGCTCTGAAGAAGTCTAAATATTTCACTGGAAAGTTTAAGAATAAGCTCAAGCCCACACTAAATTCAAAACCTTTTATCATGTAAGCTTACATTCACAAATGCATTAATTTTTTTAAAAGCAAGAAGTCAGTGCAAAATGATGGTAGACAACACTATACTAAAGGCTCAAGGGACAAACAGAAAAACAGTAAAGAAAGAAAAGGAAAAAATACTCAAGAATAGGAAGACAGAAGAGGTTTTTCTTCAAAGTGTAACCCTCAGTGAGAGGAATATTACAATGTCTTTGCTAGTGTGAGTGCGTGTTTGTGTTTGCAGGCATAAATGCACTTTATCATATACTAACCAAGCAATGTAATCTCATGCAATTATCTGCCAGATGTCCTGAGCAAAATGAGCAGGCCAGCAAACTCCCATGCATAGACAAAAACTCTTAGCAAAAAGTCTAATCCCCTGAAAAGCCACAAAATAAAGGGTTTTTCTTCCCCATGAGCAACAATAACAAAACTACAGCCAGCAAGCAAACACGACACTTGTGATGCAAAGAAAAAAAAAACATTTATTGTATATAAATGTGGGCAGAACACATGGCTTCACTTCTGCATCATTAACTGTGAGTCCAAATTAAGGTTTTACTCTCACACAGTTAAAAGCAAGATCAGGGGCAGCATCGCAAAAAAGCCTGAATTAATTTGACATGCAGCCATGCAAATTAGTTGATTCTTAACAAATCTAAAGGAGTATTCCACAGTTTCACAGCATGCAGTCTTAGGAGTGAAAGAGCAAGAGCTGACCAGTGACAGTCCTTGTGGTCTGAACTATGACCAATCTGCAGTTGGAGCTTTAACAACCAACAAGCATTTTTTTAAAAATCTATATTACAATACAGTAGGTTTAGTAAGATTTGAGCGACATGCAGAACAACGCTGCCAGCACTGCAAAGTCAGTATGCCTGTGTACCTTCAGCTTAGACTGAAATTCACGAGACTTTCTCTTGGCCAACACTTGCAGGTGACTAGAGACCTGAAGAAGGACAGGATGAAGGGGAAAAGGATGGAAGGAAACGGGGAAAAGAAGGACTGTAACTAGAGAGGATCGAGCGAGTTGATGCCACGGGAACCCACCTTGATGCTCGCCTGGTACTCACGTACCCGCTTACGTGCCAAAACTTGAATGTGACTAGATACCTTTGGGGTCAGGTTTACCCCCATGAAAACAAAAAGGAGGATCTTTCAATTCAGAAACACTCAAGAGCAATGGCATCCATTTTTGTGTGCAACTAAACATGTGTGATGTTCTACAAAACACAGCTGGAAATATGCGCGTTGTCCAGAAATATCTGTGCTTACCTGTTTGCGAGTACGTGTCTTCCCAGTTCGAAGCTTTATGTAGCGAGCTATCAGCTCGTTTCGACCTAGAGGAGAAAGAAGTGATTAAAAGAAGCAACGAAAGGGAGGTGAGCACATTTGTCCCATTTTAATAGTTACAAGTAATTCAATCTAAGTTCCAAGTTTGACAACAAATGACATCGGCACCTCACTCAGCATTATCCCATCCATCCACAAATTTGTCAGCTCCCCCCTTCACAAGATCCCGCTCTGGACAGTTGTCCAAGTCACCGACATCAGAAACCGACAACGCAAGTTCTTTATAGTGAAGGACTCAAAGAACAAGTATAATCACTGAAGCCAAAAGCTAAAATTAAACAAAGTGAATCCTTTTGTTTTGATCCCTTAACTATTTCACAAAAGAAGCAAGTGAAACTTTACTGATGGCTCTAGCTAAGTGTAAGATGTCTCTATAGAAGGAAAAAACAAAAAAAATAAATAAATAAAAGGCTTTTGTTGATTAAACCCAGTACTCATTACACAATTATAATCTCTGGCAGGCTTTGCATTTCTGTGGCTTCACAATGTCCCCATTAAAAGCTTCATAGGTCTGGTTTGGCCTTCCTTCCTGGCAGAGCTCCAAAACAAATGACAAATAGGATGTATGAAAAAAGAAAAAGTATTGAATGTCTGCATGGGTGACTACAGACTGCCTGTTCATCACTTTCTTCCTCTGCCTCACCAGCTACAACTCAGCCATGATGATCTGATCGTAAAGTAGTGAGCAACTCACTCTACTGCAAGGAGGTTAAGTGGAGGTGTAACTGCTGATCCCATATGTGAAGCAACATCATTAGCAACCATCACCATGTGCTTTTCTTGGAAGTGACTGAGCCCCTTGGGGACTCTGGATGAGTCACATCAGTTAACTTACCAGCAACATAAAATTCCCCAAAAATTCTCAAAAAGAGGTTGACTCAGGCAAATCAGACCACTCCAATTCTCCAAACACAAGGACACAAAGTCCTTCCTGCCTACTGCTGCTCCTTATAAGACCGGTGGCTTTTCTTTTGAAGTACTTGATTGCAAAACTGAAAACGAGGAGCATAGGGCACACAAACAAAGTCCCAGAAACAAAACTGAAAGCCCGGGGGATCCTTTACTGGCAGACAGAAATGGTGCCTTTAAACTCAATGTAGATTAAATGAAGGACTGCTGTTCATTTTACAAAGGCTGATGTAGAATTTTACTCCTGGGAATTTGTGCCTGTGATGATCTCACCTGACGAGGCCCGACTGCCCATCTGTTCCTGCTGTATAAAACAGCAAAAAGTTCTACTAGCCACTGCAACAATTGGCTAGAGCTAGACATGGGCCGGTCAGCGACCAACTCCAAACCTTAAAGTTAGGCTTTTAAAAGTGATTACATTTATCCTCCTATGATTTGAAAATATTTTATCGATATGCCAGGTAAATTGACGGAGTTTTCTCTAGCATCATAAGCACAGTGATGCACCATGAAGGTCAGTCAATTGTAAATATAAATGCAGGAGAAGCAACATTTATCTCTCATAAAACAACAATAATGCTTTTTAACTCGATAGTTGGCAAGTGACTAAGTGTTTTGTACTGCAGCCTGGCTACCTGAGCAGATAGCCAGACTTCTCAATTAAAACAGAAACACCTTCGAGAAAACCTGCTTGATTAAAATAAGACATTAGTCTAGGAAGCAATGCTATAAAAAGTAATATCCAGTGCATTAAACATGTGAAAACTACACCTTGATTTAGTGTATTTATTCAAAGGTTTTGCTCAAGTCAGTGGATCAAAATCATAATAAATATGAAAGAGATGAACCAGAGATTCAAAGCAGCTACTTTTTTCCCCGATCAGCTTTAAGTCATAAAAGAAATGGAAAAGTAGTAATCTTGTTTCCAATTTACCGCTGCCAACATTTTCAATCTATGAATTAATCAATTAAGATAATAAATCTAATATAAATTAAATATAAGTTAAGAACATGTGTGTCGCTTCAAAAACTACTTATCACAATATTTGTAAAAAAAATAAAAAATTATTCTTTCTCATCTGGAATAGCTCCAGAAAAAAACACCAAACATAATAAACAAAAAAATGGAAAACGTATGGTAAAATCTCAAAGAAAACTGATATTGGAGCAACCCTGTCAAAGCATATCAAGCTAAACAATAACACAGCAGCAATAATTAATGTACAACTTCAGAAGCAGGAGGAGTAATTGCTTTTTTCTTTCTAAATAAAAATGTATAACAAATACAGAGAAACGTTTTTCAAACTAATCTGTGAAGTTTAGTACATTGAGATATTTATATATTAAAAAAATCACATTGTTTTACTGTTGTTCCTTGATTTCAATTTATTCTTTGGAAGTCTGACTGTAAAAAAACAGACTTTACATGTGACAAGCAAATCCGAACCATTTGAATAACCAACAATTCATGTACAAGAAGGCCATAAGCAACTTAGTTGCAAGACTGACATGAAAAATATTGTGACTAACCCTCCCACTCCGACTTTATCATTTCTTGTGGGGGAGGAAAGGACGAGTGGGAGTCATGTGTCAGACGCAAGTTCCACACCTGAATAAACTTCTGCTTAATTTTAAGTGTTTTGCAGTGTTTTCCATTATCCGAGGGGGGGTGGGCACCATCCCCCGCCAACAAGACCGCTCGCCTCGCAGCATGCAGTAATTGACGGCTTTAACAGTTGAAGTTATTGCCTTTACCAGCATCAGTACCGCCAGATCTCGTGGTGAGCCATTTCTGTTCCTACATGGTCGCTGGTCAACTTTCAGCTCTTTCTGGAGCTCGGTTTAGAGTAGACGCATCGTCGTGAACTTTCAAAAGCGTCAACATCAAAGTTGATAAAAGCTGAATGGAAACGTGCTTCTACTCCGTTTCCTGCGATGCTAGCACACGATGAGTCAGGTAAGCTAGCACGAGGGCAAACACCCTCTCCTCTACGATGCATATGGCGAAGGTACAGAAATCAGCTGAGTGCTTAATGTCCTAGATATGCTCAAGCGCAACTTCAATGGCGGTGAAATACATTTTATTTGTAATAATGGTTATTATTTAATTGCTCTACATACTGATTGCAGTATGTAGAGAGGGGGGCACCTATTGCATTTTTATGGACAATAAAAACCTGACTGTGGCCTAACTGTTTCAGCACTAAATATAGCAAAAAAGTCAAAAAATTGGCAAAAGTAGGAAGACTATTATCAAACATAGCCCTCGCTCAGAGCCTTGTGGTAGTAGAAAATATCAGTTTCATGTGCAAGAATCGATAGATAGTTGATCACATAAAGTTAAAGAAATTGGGGGTGATCAATCATTGCCCTCCACCTCGCCCAGGGCCAAGTCTCTAGGGGAAACACTGAGCAGTGCTACTCTGCGGTCCTTTAAGTTGGTTAGAAAATGCTAAGCTGCTGTTTTGTGAAAACAAATGTGGGCATAATAATAAAAAATGAGTGCAGCTTTTAAGTGCCACAATGCTGAAACAAACTTATCTGTTACATTGGTGTTTTTTCATCCTCATAGCACATCGCCTAATGAAGTAGAGGCTGAAGCGGATGTAAATGCAAATAAATGACTGATCAACATGACTGGGATTCTTAGATGTGAGCCAAAACCTTCATCAAGATGTGATAAAAATGCTATTCCACATCCTCTTCTTCAGGCCCAGAATGCAAACAATCAGAGAGTGCAGTGAACATGCACATAGATTAAATCTGAATAAAGCAGACCAATGTCAACACATTTTTAAGCCAAAACTGAAAAGTGAATTCATATAGCCCAGAATGCCTTTCTCTTGACATCCACCAACAAAGTGTGGCTAAAATGAGATGCTAACCAAACACGGCTTCAATGACCAGAGGGCACCTTGACAAACTCGAACATCAAAAAGTGCACTTATTTCAGCAATTCAACTCAAACTGTGATCATCCTAATTTATATAGGATCATTACATACAGGGTGATGGATTTCAGAAATAATTTAGCTGATTATGGATTATAGCCAAATTTTTTTATTGGTATTACCAGAAAACACAAGACGAGATCAATAAATGTTACGTCAGGACTTCCACAGCAATGTGGAAAACAGCTGACTTGACGGTTGTTCAGCCAACAGTCACTCACACTCCCTCAGAAGGAGGGTAAGCTACACAAAGTTCTACACCCAAGCATCTTAAAGGAAAGCTTGGTGGAAGGAAAAAATGCTGGTAGAAAATAAACTCGCACAAGTAACAGGGGTTACATCAGCCTTGACAAGATTGTTAAGCAAAGCCCAGTCAAAACACTCTGGGGAAGATTCGCAACTAGAATCAGCGCTACAAGAGCCACCACACAGAAATATCTACGACATGAGCTACAACTGTTGCATTCCTCGTGTTAAACCAATCCTCGGCCAGACAACGTCAGAAGTACTTTCCATGAGCAGAGCAGAAGAAAAGGATTGGAGTGTGGCTCAGTGCTCCACAGAAAACTTCATTTTTTTCCTGAGTCCAGAGGAAGAGTGGAGAAGGCCAAAATCCAAGCTGCCTGAGGTCCAGTGGGACATTTCCATCACCAATGAGGATTTACAGGAGAAAGTTATCTGTTGGTGGCGGTCCACTAAGTTTTACTGACTCCAAAGTCACCCTAGATTTTGAGAACTTCATGCTTCCCTCAGCTGAAAAGCTCTATGGAGAGGCTGATTTCATCTTCCACAGGACCCCCAAAAGTACCAATACCTGCTTCAATGACAAGAGTACCGCTGTGCTAGCTGCTCTGTACATGTGCACAGGAAACATTTGCAGAAAGGCAGCTAATCCAATTGAGTTCATTCACTATATTCTATCCAGTACATTATTTTCAGTGGGCCAGCAACAGATCAAGGAGTACAGCCATTTTCAATAGTTTTTTGTCTGTGATTATGCCATGCTTAAGATGAAAGCTGGCCATCATAATTATCTCAAGACAGAAACCTTCTTACCATACATCTTGCCCTCATCTGAAAGTATGATCTTTCTCCTCCCGCATGGAGGGTAGATGGCCAGCGCTTCTTGAAAGCTCTGCTCGATGTCTGGACTCCAGACGCCTTCAGGGTCGCCATCCAATCCACGGTCAGCCCCATCTGGCAGTCCCTCTCCGTTCCCGCTTTCCTCCTGCGCCCCATCAGGGCTGCTTCGGCAACTCCACTCCGACGCAATGATGACGGTTCCAGCTACACACTCACCTGCAGCACAGCATATGAAATGTCTTTATGATAATTATAAGGGAGTTTTCTATGGGGGTGAGGGCTAAAAATATGTGTTATTGCAATAAGATCTATTAGATTTAGCATGATGGCTGTGGGTCGCTTATGATTGGTGTTCTTTCAAAACCTAATTATATCATAAACAGCATAGAGGGAAAAAAATTACAATTTAGAATGAGTTTTCCATTCACATTAAGAACATCTGAGTAAAATATACCACAATACCAGAGAAAAGAGAAGTAATTATTTTTAAAGGGGGTAAATTTAGACTAAAAGAGCCTGCAATCAGCAAGGTTTACAGCAGTGGAAGTAATAGTCCATGACTGCTTTGAAAACGCAATCAAGTTTAAAAAAAAATATCTTAAAATAAATCCGAATATACAAACTGAAAATGTTCCATGTACTAGAAAAGGCAAAAAAAAATATCATGGTGAAGAAGATTCTCCTTCTTGACCACAACACAAACCAGCAGTGAGGAGTAATTACTGCCAACATTAACAGCTGCATAAAAATCTAAGAAATTACATAAAGAAAGGAAGAAATGTAAGAAACCATTTAAAATGAAATCTGCTACATGTTCGTTCGTTCAGGCCCGGAAAGAGAGAGCCGTTCTGTCAGAGAGTAACAGAAAGGCTGGATGGGATGCGTGAAAGTTTCTGCTTTATTGGATTATGCTTTGAACCTCTAGCAAGAAAACTGCTGGATTTGGAAATGTTGGTAATTTATAAACGTCAAGTCAGCAGCAAACACATTTGCTTGTAAGTAAACAAAACCTTTTAGCTAGGTAGCCTGTTGGACGAATCCTCAAAGGAGGGTCAGTTAAATAGAAAAAAGTCAAATAAAAGATATTTTGGCGGACGATAAGATACAATGTTAACAAGTACGACAAATGTCCTGAGGGGCTGCAAATACTTTCAAACTTCACTGTGAGTAAAATCAGTTTCATCTGAAGTCATTTGCTACTTCCTTAGTGAGAACTAACCGAAAGAAAGTAGGGCATGAAGACTAGACTTTAAAAAACAACAATAAATAAATCAAGGAATGGTTTAGGTTGCACAAACTACATTTGAGACAAGCTGTCATAGCAACCTTCCAGTGAGTCTTCTGGTTCAAATCTACTCTGCATCACCAGAATCAGAAACAAACACAAGAGCAGCATTTGGTTTTTATGCTCCACTAATCTGGAATAAACCTTCAGAAAACTGTCCTGAAACCCATTTGCTTATAATAATACATGAAGCATCTGTAGTCCAACTTTTCTGTCTTTCCCTTTGGTTTGTCACTGAAATAAACTTTCATGTTTTGCGCTTTGAACTGTCTCGTAGTTGATATGTGCCACACACAAAAAAAATCTTGCTCTGCCAAGACCTAAAAGGCAAAACAATTTCAGGATAACCACTCAGTAGTGCTTTACTACAATGTTCAGGACGTGCAGGCGTATTAACAATGTTTCCACACTGAATTATTATGGCTAATGAAATTAGAAAAAAAAAAAAAAAAGACAAATTCTAACTCAATTAATACTGACAAAACCAGATTTTGTTCAGATAGTCGTCTTAGAGAAAACTGTTCGAAATAAATTACACTCTCTTGTCATAAGTTTCCTTTGAATACAGACACATTTACAATGTGAAAGCTGCTGGATGTGTAATGCTTTCCAGATTGGTGCAAAAATGATCCCAACCACAAAACAACCCCAGACCATCAGTGTGGTCTGTGAACTTCCCCTGCTGTGCTCATACTATACACTGTGCTTACAGACTTCCCAGATTCAGCCTCTGCTGAAAGGGTCGAATTGTTTCCACAGCCTTCAGACATAACTGAATGAATGCATTAAAAAGATTGAATGTGTGATACACAAGCGGCTCCGAAGATGTTTCACATGAATCCTTGTTTCTCTTTCTGTTGATGATTAGGCTCCAATACTCAATCTCAAAGAATAATACATTGTAATTTCTAACAAAAAAACATCAATAAAACTCAACTAAAAAATGAACACTGGGTTTGAGAAGACAATTTAAATATCCAAAATAAACAAACAAAAACATCCAAAACAACAAATAAAATGAATATTAAACAAAATTGCTCTTGAAGACATTTTGTCATCCAGTCTTTGGTGGAAAGACGAGCAGAACTTTTCAAGCTCGCTTTAATGCGTCATGCAATTAATTTATTTATTACTAACTGTAACAGGCTTACTGTATGTCTGACTAAGCGAAATATTGGGATTTTGTCACTAACTGAGCAACCATTGCTTAAATAAATTAATGCCTTAATCTTTCACCGCCCTTTAACATTCAGCATTGGACAATTTCAAATTTAGCTACAGCATACATCAGGTAGTTTATCTTACCAGCTATAAACTTCATAGAGATGCACTAATCAATAAGCCAGGGTTCAAAAATAGCCAATTTCGATTTGATCAGCTCTGCCGAAGCTCTGCCCGTTTTTTGATCAGCACATCAAAAGCGTGCAAAACCTGACATGAATAGAAAAATCATTTGAAAAATTGTCATTTTTGTTTTGTCTGCTTGACTGAAAACTGCTACCTGAAGAAACCCAAACACCTGTTAAACTCTTTAGAGTGAGTTCCCTCTTAGGAGGAAAAAAGAAAATTACAATGGTGTCAGGCCTTAAAGAAAACAGTGCATCACTAAAAAGCAGTATGTTTTTATTTTTTATTTTTTTCTACAACTGATCTGAGGCATTACAGCCAGTGTGTCTACAAAAGGCAGCGGAGGCGAATGTGGCATTATGGTCAGGAGGCACATGTGGTTCTGTCGTTTTCATTATAGCTCCCAGTGGCCAAAAGGTCAGCTGTTCGGTGCAGCGAGGAGCCAGTAAAGCACTGAGCTAAATAAAACTATGAGCTCAGCAAACTTTGAAAGGACACATGCACGGTACGGGCTGCCTTCTGCGCCAATGGAAGCAGCGGGGGGGAGAGAAGAGGGGGACATGATTACTCAAGCTCTGTTTCAATGCAGATTTCATCGGCAACTTCAGACGAGCGCCGCAACAAACCCTGTCGAATCTGATCGCCGAGCCTTCAGCGGCCACAGAAAATGGAAATCGAGCCTAGTTTCTAGCCGTTGGCTCGATATTCTCACATAGTAGCGAAACTTTCCCCAACAACCGCAGCTAGCGCGGAGAGGGGAAAATGAAGCCGTTTAGCGAAATGGAAGTTGGCAAAACTCGGGAGAAGGAAACGCACACATCACATCTGCCCTAAAAGCTTACAAACAAACCCACAGTTGTGTTAAGAGTGCAGAAAACGCCACTCTTTTAAGTTTTCAAGCGAGCAAGCCGAAGTCGCTAACTCCTTCGAAAGTGCTATGCTAGCTCGTTAGCTTCGGGGCTAATCAAACCGTAACAAACTGCAAACTAAAGTCTCGAGGACGCTTCAAAAGCGATTAGCTGCGGGGCGACGATGGCTTATCGCAAACAAGACATACTGTCTGTTGAGCACACGGGAGGGGGGGGACTCTGATTCAGCGAATCCGCGGCGGGAAAATGCTAATTATGTCAAATATCCCAAAACTTCCAGGCGAAGGCGAAGCAGCTGCTGCCGCACGAAAAAAAAAGTTGCTTGCACACAACAAAGAAGGATATCTGGGAGCTGCACTCACCTCGCAACGGCTTCCGCGCTCTGCTCTAACAGGGACGAACTCCTTCTGCCCCCCGTATAAAAAAAAACCCCAAACACCCCGCTTCTGCACAACACCGGCTCCGAAATTCAACAGTAAGAACAACGGGATAGGAGAAAAAAAGGTGGAATGTATTTTATAAATTTGGTATGAAATCAGGGCTCGGGAAGGGGAGGGAAGAAAAAAAAAACGCGCAGAGGCGTGGCGTCGAAAACACACGACACGCAAAAGTTTTGTGGCTTCCAGCGCAAACTCCTCCCATGGCGGAATGGGAGACTCCTGATTAGAGACGACTTCTGCAGAGGGAGACTGGCGGCACACTCACTGCACATTTCCTGGCCGGATTAGACACGAAGAAGGCGCACATTAATAAGTTTTGATGGCGGAGGCGCAACAGCAGTTTTTAAAGGGGCCTTACTCAGAATTTAATTCCGGGGGCCCCACTTCTGTGTTGAGGTTATTACCACGAGTCACATTCAGAATCGCTGTCTTATGTTGTACTTGTGTTTTGACAAGAGTCACAAAAAATAAATTCCATGACATCTTCATTGGTCACTTCAGATTAGTCAATAAATCAACCAAAAGTCCCAATGGAGTCTAGAGGAAATATAAAAACGTGATTTCAGTGTTTTCAAGGTTATGGAAAGAGAATTTCAGTGTTTGGAATATTTTAGTATTTTAAGTCATCCATTGTGTAAATAAATATGTTTGCATCCTATCCTTCCTTCTATGTGTCCTCCCTCTGCCCTCCCTTTGGTGTCTCTCTCATTTCCTTCCTACTTTCCATTCTTTTCCGCCTTTTCTCATACTTTTAATTGCTCCGTGTCTTTCTCATCTTATTTGCGTTCTTCATCCTCCTCCTTACATCAACCTTTCATTATGTCATCTCCACCGTCCTTCCTTCCTTCCTCCCTTCTTTGTTTCTTCCTTTATTCCTTGCAAAATAACTACATTCCTTCCTTGTGTCCATATGTCAAACGTTTCCACTGCAGAAATTTCTGCCGATAATTGGTATTTTATTTATTTACTTGTTTTTGTAGTGGTAATCAAACTGGTAAGCTTGGAAGCAACAAAGCAAATACGTAAGTAAGCCTATTGAAGTAAACGATTTATGGAATGGCGAAAAGACAAAATGTGGGCGTTCATTTTTCAAAGTCGTATTTTCACCATGTTACTCACACATTTATTAATGTCTGAGTTCCAAACAAAATATTTAACTTTCAAATTAAAAATGATTTGCCAAGTAGAATATTTAGTTTGTACAATAAGTGTTTAGTTCCTCCCCAAAAATATTAAATTTGGAACTATTTTGTTTGAAAACTAAACGATTAGCCCCAACCTGAATCTTTATTTGGGTTTATTTTAAACATCCACTTTTTCTCAGACTTTTAATTGCTCTGTAAAATGAAACATCATTGACCCTTTGGAGACTAAGTCCTCTGTTGTTGTTTCATAGGAAACACAACGCTTTAATTATATTAATTTGATGTATGAGAGATAATCTGTCTGACATTGTTTTCCAGTCACTCAGTGGTGACCAGTCAAGACATTTTTAACATAGGAAAGGAAGCTGTATTAATTGTAATAGCCACAGAGTCACTTAAGCCCCATTGTAATGAGCTGACTGCTAATTATAAACATAGATATTTATTTTCTTAAGATTTTCCATTTGACTAG